ATGGGAGGCACCGTCCCCTGCATGTCCTTGCCCAGAGTGGGGCTCTGTGCTAACACTTACTCTGCAGTGAGGCAGGTGTGGAAATGAGGGACACACTTATTTCCTGGTGACTGTAGTGATGGGGACCCTTTCCCAGCAGCCACAGGTCAGAGGGAAGGTCCCTGCTGAGGACAGACCTCGGGGAGGGCACCTGGTCCAGCCCCTGACGTGTACTTTCCACAGGTTTTCTGATCCTGCCCTGGGTCTATGCACACAGTTCTGGGAACTTCTCTGGGGTCAGGACTAGGGCCTCCTTTAGCACCTCATGGCCCTGCCTCCTCCCTGGTGTCTCACAGGATGTTTTCTTCCCGCAGGTGGAAAAGGAGGGAGCTACGCTCAGGCTGCCAGTGAGTATGGAGGGGGTGACCCCTGAGACCCTGTGACAGAGCAGACGGGAGCCCATGGGGCCCTCACCCCACAGTTCCTCCTTCAGTCTCCTGTCCTGGGTCTGACCATGTCCTGGTGTGTCCCCCCCAGGCCGTGACAGCTCCCAGGGCTCTGACATGTCTCTCCCGGCTTGTAAAGGTGAGACTGACGTGGGGAAGGGGTGGACTGAGGGGCCGGGACTGGGTTATGGGGGTTCCTGGGGACATTTTGAGCACGAAATGGATTTTTGAGACTATCACCAGTTACAGCGACTGACATTTATTTGTTCATGAATATTTTCTCCACAGCGTGAGGACCAGCCTCGTGGGGACTGATGGTGGCAGATTTCTTCAGGTTCCCACTTGATGACTCAAGAACCTCAGATTGAATAGCTGGACCATTTCTGCCCCACCCCCTCCCCACACTGTCCTGTGCAGCAGAGGGGGCAGGGCCCTCCCACCCCTGTCTGTACTTCCTGGTGCCTGAGCTCACCCTCCTGCTCCTGTGCTGAGATGAGGCTCTGATGTGACTGCTCACTTCTTGCCATGAAACTTGATGGTTTGATTAGAGGAGAGGATTTATCCACTAGACCTACTTATGTGGATACGTAAAAGATAGTTTGCCGTAGAAAACCGGCAAGAGTACATTGAAAGAAAATTTTCACAAATACCGAAGAAAGTGATTCCTGATGTTTGGGGTGCTATTGCTTTCTCCTTCTCTAGCCGGGCCTGGACCTGAACCGTCCCCAGTTTGAAAACATGTTGAGAAAAAAGATGATCAATGCCTGTTGATTCTCTTACACTTTGAAAAGGAAATTTCTTTTAATAAATTCTGGCTTTCTAATTACTCTAAGTATGCATACGTGTTTTTGATCAGCCTATATGTTAGGTGACAGGTACTAACTAAACTTGTTTCATGCACTTGACCACACCTGGAGTGGACCTGGAGGTCGTTCTGCTCCGTAAGATGGGTCGGGTAGAGAAGGACGTCCAGGTCCTTTGATACTCATGTCCGTCCATGCAGTTTGCAAGGAGAGTGTTTCAGTGCCTCAGAATTCAGGGTGGAGACGCATGTGAATCACGTGGCACAGGTTTTGCCGCCAGCAAAAATACGGATCGCTCCCTTGGTCTGGGTGGAGAGAGAAACAGAGAGGGACTCCTGGTTCGAGATTCACCTGGAGGAAACAGCTGGGAAACCCAGGCTGGTGGTTTCCTTGCTGGCTCTGGTCCCAGAGCCCTGATTCTAGTAAGACCCCCATTTACAAAGTTCCCGGAAGAGCCACTATAAGGTTGCAGTTTACTCCAGGAACATTCAAGGCCTCAGTGAAGACATCTGTGTTTTCCCAGATAGACCCGTGGCCTCCCATCCCCCTCCCCTTAGGTGCCCAGGACAGGTGGGCAAGATGTCAGGATAGGCAGACTGGTGCCAGGTGTGAGCTCGGAGCCAGCAGAAGAGAGGGCGTGGGGTGCAGGCTGCCCACCTTGGCTATGCTCAGGGTCATGGTCAGGTCCATGACCACAAATGTCCACCTGCCTGAGGCAGAAAGCAAACACCTACAAGACTGTGTTTTTGCCGATCAGCAAAGTTGCTTTTGGACAGTCTTGTCTGATCTGTCTCAGAAAGGCCTCCCCCTGACTTCCTGCACACAGTGGTACTCCTGCGGGCCACTTTCCAGCCAAGGAGCTGCCACTCCGGGTGACCTCCTTCTATTCCCCAAGGTCAGCAAGCCTGGAGGAATTTCTCCTGGGCCAGGTGCACACCTCACTGAAAAGGCCCAACAGGCCCCGCCCCTGTGGCTCAGTGGACTGAGCCTCTGCCCATGGACTGGGAGGTCCCAGATGATTCCCAGTCAGGACACTTGCCAGGGTTTCAGGCTCCGTGCCAGGTAAGGGGTGTGCTGGGGAGCCGGATGGATGTTTCTCTCTCACAACGATGTGTCTATCACTTTCTTTATTTCTCTCTAAAAAACCAATAAAACATTTTGAAAAGGAGGGACAGAATGGGAACAGGAAAAGTGCCAGGTGGTTGAGGTGTTTCTTCTCCTCCCAGCCTGAGCTATGAGGTGCATCTCACAAACACGGTCCAGCCCTGGCTGGTTTGGCTGAATGGTTACAGCGTGGGCCTGCGTTCCAGAGAGACCCGGGTTCGGTTCTCGCTAAGGGCACATAACTTTGTTGCAGTTTGTCCCCGGCCCTGGTAGGTCATGTGGGTGGCAGCTACTTGATGTTTCCTTTTCACCTCGATGTTTCTCTCTCTCTCTCCCTCCCTGCCACTCTATCTGAACAAAAAATGGAAAAAGTCCTCATGTGAAGTTAGAAAAAAAAATTCACAATTAAAGAAAATTTGTTTAAAAAAAGAAAGCCGGTCCAGAGTCTGGACATTTGGGTGCCACTGTGGGAAGCAGAGGACGTCCTACCAGCAGCAAAACAATTTCAGAAGCTCAGGAGGGCAAAGGCATACAGTCCTCAGCCCCTGTTACCCTGCGGAGAACAGTCACCCCCAGGGGAGGGGCCAGGGCCCTGTGGTCCAGCTTGGCCTGCTCGAGGTCCTTCTTCCCAAACACCCATCGGGTGTCCCACATCCCTCCTGCCACCAGGGCACGCCGACCTGCCAGGTGTTCTTGCTGATGGTCACTGGGGGACATCTGTAATATTGTCAACAATGAAAATAAATGCATAAAAATTAACTGTGTCCAGCACCCTGCCCTGGGCATCGTGGCCATAGGCCTGCTGTGACCCCAGTGAAGGTCCCGGCCAGGGCTGGGTAAACATTTATGTTTTATTATTTAATTGATTTTTTAAGAGGGAGAGAGAGAAAAATACATATGAGAAATGTGGACCCTCTGTCTCCTGCACTCTCTCCCCCACATCTAAGACCGACCCCCAAAACCTGGGCATGTGCCCCAGTGGAAACTGAACCAGGGTACTTCTGGTGTATGGACCACACTCAACCACTGAGCCACACCGCCCGGCCATGTTATTTTTTAATTTCAGTTCCCCTGCGATGGCATTGACCTCTGACCTGGAGCCTCCTGGCCTCCTTCCTCTCACCTGGCGCGAGGTTTTCTAGGTGCTCCGAGAGATGCTCACATCAAGGGCTTCTTGCAGGGATGGAGGACTCCAGGGACACCTGGATTCTGCAGTGTGGTTTCTCATTAGAAACCCTGCTCTCCCCAACCCGTGTCTCCCCTCCTGGCCAGCGATGATGTACACCTGGAGGGAAGGGGTCAGGGATAATCAGCAGAGGTTGGGTCTGGGCTTCCTGGCCCATCAGGAGGCATTCCGGACCTCTCCAGAGGGGCAGGAGGAGAGCCACCAACCAGGGCCCCACAGACAGACCTGGCAGGAGGCTGGGTCACCCTGAGAGCCAGTCACAGGCTGGGGACAGAGTGGAGCTGACTTCTTTTTGATTTCTGAAAACAGAAGTGTGATTGGTACGTGCGGTCTCCTTTCTATTCTGTTCCAAACCTTGTGTGCCCCCAACTCCCAGATTTTGCCAGCATTTTATTCTCTCTCTCCTTCTCTGTTGTTAATCCTCACCTGAGGAAATTTTCTCCCATTGAATTTTAGAGAGTGGAAGGGAAGGAAAGAGGCAGGGATGGAGGAAGAGAGAGAGAGACAGGTGGATTGTTTCCTCCTGCAGGCACCCCTATTGGGCAGGGAATGACCTGCCACCCAGGTACGTGCCCTTGACAAGGAATGGAAGCGTGACCTTCAGTGCTGGGGCCGACACTAACCACTGAGCCACGCTGCCCAGGGTAATTTTTTCTTTGAGACCAGCCTTAGAGACGTACAAAAATGGCACATATTTAACGTGTACAATTTGTGGAGTGTGGGCACAGGTGGACACCTGTGAAACCGTCACCACAATGAGATAATAGGCAAGTCCATCCCCAGAAGTTTCATAGCTGTGTGTGTATGTAATACAAACACTTAACATGGATCTACCCTCTCAACAAAATGTATTTTATTAAAAATTGTTTTTGTTTTGCCCTGGCCGATTTGGCTCAGCGTTTGGAACCTCTGCCTTTGGACCGGAGAGACCCAGGTTTAGTTCCCTCTAAGGGAATGTACCTTGGTCGTAGTTTGTTCCCGGCTCTGGTTGGGTCATGTGGGTGGCAGCCAGTTGATGTGTGTCTCTCACATCGATGTTTCTCTCTCTCTTCCTCCCTCTGTCTGAAGATAAATGCAAAAGTGTCCTCCAGTGACAATAAACAAAAATTTTTTTTAAACCTCACCTGAGAATATGTATTTATTGGTTAGAAAGAGAGAATCATCAATTTTTAAAAAGAATATTCTTTATTGATTTTTACAGAGAGGAAGGGAGAGGGAGAGAAAAACATCAATGAGAGAGAACATCGACTGGCTACCTCCTGCATGGCTCCCACTGGGGACCTGGCCCACAACCTGGGCATGTGCCCTGACTGGGAATTGAACGAATGACCTCTTGGTGCATGGGTCAATGCTCAACCACTAATCCACACCGTCTTGGCGAAACATTGATTTTTATTCTACTTATTTATGCATTCGTTGGTTGAGTGTTGGAAGTGCCTAGACAGGGGATCGAACTCACTCACAACCTTGGTATATCAGGCAAATGCTCTAATATACTGAGCCACCTGACCAGGGCCATGGCTTAGATTTTCACTCTTATTTTTCTGTTGGTTTTGTGGTGTGACCGGTCTTGGGTGAAGCCGGGAATCGGATGTGTTGGCAGGATGAGCTCCTCGGCTCAGGTGGTTGTGGCGGCTGTATCTCTGAGGAGCTGCTGTCTCACCTGAGGGGCCTGGATCAGTACCAGCTGGAGAGATTCAAACTGGGCCTCCAGTCACCGCAGGTGCTGGCCCAGAACTCCCCGAAGATCCCCTGGGCCAACGTGAAGGCAGCGGATCCCAGGGATCTGCTGTGTCTGATGAAGCAGCACTTCCCGGAAAGGCAGGTGTGGGAAGGGACCCTCCGCATCTTTGAGGACATGAATCTGACTCCACTGTGTGAGGGACTCAGAGCCCAGATGAATGGTGAGTGGGGCTGGGGGCTGGGGACATGGGAGATGGGGACACAAGGGATGGGGGTCACGGGGGAATGAAGGTCGGGGGCAACACATGGTGATGAAGACTGTACCCTCATGGGAAAAAGGATGTTGCTGCTGGGATTTTATGGGGTTGATTGAAATTTCTCTTGATAGGTGAGGAATGACAGGATCACTAAGTTTGTCATGTGGTGTGTTAGAGGGTGACAGGTGCCAAGGAAAAGAGAGAGAGTAAGGTGGTTGGGATGGCCCAGGGTGTGTGATGTAGGGGGTCTGGTGCTGGATTTATTGGGATCATCAGCCACCGTGAGGAGGTTGGATTTGAGCAAAGACCTGGAGGTGAGGGAGTGAGCCTGTGGACATGTGGGGAGGAGCCAGACGGGATCAGGTCGGACCCAATCCCAGAGGCAGGGTCCTGTGACAGGGTCTTTGCAAAGTAGCGTGCTTCCAAAGTAGTGGGGTTGATGGAGTGCGGGATGTGGCTCCCCCAGCAACCCCAAGCTTGTCAGAGAAACATTGTTTTTACTGACAGCACCCTTCACTGCCTACTGCTTTCCAGCCTGGGGTATCTCATATCCCACCACCCATGTTTCTTTCAGAGATGCCACAGGGACCCCAAGACCCAAGCCAAGAAGAACCAGACATCCCAGAAGAACCATCAGGTGCGTGTACACAATTTTACGATGATCGCACACAAATTGCCGCATGGACATTTTACTGGGTCCACATTGGACATTTTTCTTCATGTTTTATCCAACCAGTAGTGTTCCAGAAATGACACCCTTCCCATCTGTGTTTCTACTACGGCTTATTAAAGAACACGTTACTATAAGCCGGACTTTCTGTCTGATGCTGCTCTGCGTTCTGAGCCGCCAGTGTTCGTTTCTGGTCTCTGTGTTGTTTTAATAGGGAGCTGTGCTTTTTTGTTCATTTGTTTTGTCCCAGAAGATTCCTTGAAATCATTGCCTAATTGGCTGAAATTGTGTCCTGATTTAATTCTTGGTTTGCATTTATTCTGTCAGTGAGTGAAGACCATCTCTTTATTTTAGCCTTTCTTTCTTTGGTGTTCCTCGTCTCCCTGTGGTCACTCCGTGTCTTACTGACCTGTCAGAGCATGTTGCCTTAGAAGGTGGCCTCTTGGTCTGTCCATGGTTAGTCTTCTCCCTCCTGCCATGTTTCTGTCTAGAGTTTGTGGGCTGCTTTCTTGCTCAGCCTTCGGTAGTCTGGACAGTGAGACTCATCCCCAACTTGGTTAGGTCCAAGGAGACCTCTGCTGTGGCTGCCAGCAGGGTCTGGATCTCACAGAGTTTCAGATTTCACCGGACTCTTGCTGCAAAGAAGAGAAACGGAGGTGAGCAGGAGAGATGGCTTCTCTCCTTCTGAGGGAGCCGGACCTGCATGAGTCAGTCCTGTGGTCTAAAGGTCCATGTCTTCCTTTTTTTTAAACCTCATTCGAGGATATGATTTACTGATTTTTTCTTTTTAGTGAGAAAGGGGGAGAGAAAGAGGAGCCAGAGAGAGAGAGAGAGAGAGAGAGAGAGAGAGAGAGAGAGACCTCGATGTGAGAAAGAAATATCAATTGGTTGCCTCCTTCACTTGCCCCAACCAGTGATTGAACCTGCAATCTTTTGGTGCAATGGATGGTGCTCCAACCAACCGAGCCACCTGGCCGAGGCTGTAAGGTCCCTTTCTAAAGGTTGATTGATCAGTTCTTGGGATTTGTTCAATTCTGAATAACAGTTCATTCCTGGAGGTGGGTGAAGCTCTGGATGGGCATGTGGGAAACACCAGTCTTCTGAGACCTTTGATAATCCAATAGGTTGCTGCCAGACCCCATTCCCGGAAGATGACATTTCTCTCTAGGTGGGCAAAATTTTTTTCTGCCCATTTTGAATTTATAGGCAAGAAGCTGTGATTCAAAAAATTTCTAGAGCGTCACAGACATAAGCTGTGAAGAAAATGTGAAGTCGGGTCTTTGATATTCCTGTTCTGTCTTCTCCACTGGAAACGTTTTGTACTTAGATATACACTACATATTTACATTTAATGTACATGTTTATATAATATGCATATTTAGTATCTATATTAAGATATATATTATATACTATGTATTAAAATATATTTAAAGCATATATTTAGATATTCACATAAAATATATTTCATATAAATCTATAAAACTATATTCATATATTTAAATATGTGTTTGTTTATTTGTATTTCACTTATATATAATCTATATTTATTTACTTATATTTAGTTTATACATATAATTTATATATTTAAATATATTTTATTGTATTTTTATTTAAATTTAAATATATATTTATGTTTAATTTATATATAATTTATATGTTTATATAAAGTATATATTTAATTTGTATATTGGAGTACATTATATTGTAATTTACTGTACATAATATGTTAGAATATATATATTTTATATATTTAGATATTTACAAAATTGTATTGGATTGTCATGAACACACATTTATATATAAATTATGTGCCTATCATTTTTTCCCTGGTATGTGGCATCATTGTCCAACCAGATATTTAAGCCTAAACCCTAGAATTCATGTACAACTTTATTTTCCTAAGCCTCCTCACACCCCTCTGTTCTTTGGTAAACTTTTTTAAATGTGTTTTTATTGATTTTTTAGAGAGAATGGAAGAAAGAGGGAGAAGGAGAGAAAGAAGGAAAGGGAGAGGGAGAGGGACATAGAAACATGAATGAGAGAGAACATTGATTGGCCGCCTCCAATGGGGACTGATCCCACAACCTGGGCATGTGCTCTGACCAGGAATCAAACCAGTGACCTCTTGGTCCATGGATTGAGGCTCAACCACCGAGCCACACCAGCCAGGGCACACTCTTGCATTTTGACTCACTTCTCTCACTCAGTCCACAGAGGAACATACCGAGAGAGGATGAAGGCTAAATTCCTGGCGATGTGGAATGCTATCCCTTGGCCAAAAGACCATATCTACCTCCGTAATGTCACAGAGCAGGAGCACAAAGAACTGAGGTGTCTCCTGTATCCCAAGAGGATGGGAGCCCAGCCCCAGACGATCGTCCTGCATGGTGTGGCAGGAGTTGGAAAGACCACCCTGGCGATGAAGGTCATGATGCATTGGGCGGAGGGCTTGCTCTTTCAGCAAACCTTCTTGTATGTCTTCTATACCAGCTGCCATCAAGTCCAAAACATGGAGGACACCACCTTGGCTGGCCTGCTTTCCCGGGACTGGCCCGACTCTCAGGCCCCCATCGAACACTTCATGAGTCATCCCGAGAGGCTCCTGTTTGTCATCGATGGCTTTGAGGACATGACTGTGTCCTCTGATGAGGATGACAGCCAGCCATGTACAGACTGGTACCAGCAGCTCCCAGCAGCCAGAATTCTCATCCACTTGTTGAAGAAGAAAATAGTTCCTGAGGCTACCTTACTGATCACGACCAGGGACTGTCCCAGTGAGGACCTTAAAAAATTGTTATTGAATCCATGGTTTATACTAATCCCAGGGTTCACAGAGGAAGACCAGGAGGAGTATTTCTTCAGGTACTTCAGGGACCGAAACGAAGCCAAGAAAATCTTGCGGTGGATTAGAAAGAATGAAGCTCTATCTCATTCCTGCTCTGCCCCCCTCGTGTGCTGGACCGTGTCCTCCTGCCTGAAGTGGCAGATGGCCAGACGTCCTTCTTTCCAGCTGAGCATCCAGACAACCACCAGTCTGTACGCCTACTTTTTCTCCAGCTTGTTTGAATCAGCAGAGGTGGGTTGGTCGAAGCAGAGCTGGTCGGAGCAGTGGAAGGCCCTCTGCTCTCTAGCTGCAGATGGGATGTGGTCTTCCAACTTCACGTTTGCCAAAGAGGACATGGAACATCGGCACCTGCAACCACCTCTGATTGATTGTCTCTTTAGGCTGAACATTCTTCGAAAGGTCAGTGACTGTGAGGACTGCATGACCTTCACTCACCAAAGTTTCCAGGTGTTTTTGGGGGCCATGTTCTATGTGCTCAGGGGAAAGGAGGGAGCCATTAGTGGGCTCTCAAAGCATCAAGAGCTGAGGGTGCTCCTGAACGATGCCTTTGTGGATACCAACTCCTACTGGCATCAGATGGCTCTTTTTTCCTTTGGTCTCTTAAACAGAGACCTAGCAAGACAAGTAGAAGACACTTTGCACTGTAAGATGTCTCCCAGGGTTATGGATGAATTCTTAAGATGGGCAGAAGCGTTATCCACATCTGACGTGGTCTCCTGCAGTTTGGAGTTGCTACCGTTTTTTCAGTGCGTGTATGAGACTCAGGAGGAGACTTTTGTCAAGCAGATTCTGAGCCACCTCCTTGAAGCTGACCTGGAGATCGGAGACCTGCAACTCCAGGTTACTTCATTTTGTCTCAAACACTGTCAAAGGTTAAGTAAGCTGAGGCTTTCTGTTCGCTGCCTCATCCCTCAAATGGAGTCGACTTGCGATTGGGAAACGCCAGGGTGAGTAACATAATGTCGTTCTTTTCCCAACATTCTATCATCTTCCCAGACTCTGCCTGAGTTCTACCATGAAAACTGAGGATTTACTGTTGTAGTTGTGTTATCAATGGTTATGATTGATCAAACATCGTTGATCAGCTTTACCCTGGGAGAAGATTCTCCTTTAGGTATCAGTTGGGTTTGCTGGCTCCTTTAATTAAGTTAAAGGTAGAGCTTCTATCTCAGGTACTGCACATGGAAGGTATGTACCAGGCATTGCGCTAGGACATCATCTGACATCTGATGCCCATAGCTGAATGGAGGGAGAACTGTTACTGCCACTCATGGCTAAGAAAAGTGAAGGATAAAAGCATAGTTTCCTTTCATCCTTGCGGTTATTGAGTAGCTCAGCCTGGATTAGTGCCCAGCTCTCTGTGAGCTCCAGGTCTCCAATCAAACACTAGATATTTCTCCTTTGAGCATGAGTTGGGGTGGGAGTGGGGCTGATGGAGTCAACTAAGTCCTGAAGCTTATTCTTATGAGTTTGCCTCTGTCTGCTGGAAGGAGAATCCCAGAACTATTTTATCTCCTTTGGGTTCTTGTCCTATGACCTTGACCCATCCCTGACACTGATGAATTCCATTAATGACTTCTCCTGAAGAAGAATCCCAGAAATGCTTCAACTATGTTGGATTCTTTTTCTATGACCTTGTCCCATCAAGGACACTAATATCTTTAAGTCTAGATAAGAAAACCTGAATGTTCTGCCCATTATTTCAGGTCCCAGTGATGTTTTCTAGACTTTTCTCAGGAGACAGCATGCTACATGTATTCTCAGACCCTTTTTTGTTGAACCCTCAAACCCACAAGAAGGACCATTTCATTTGTGGTTGAAAAAAATTGAAATTTTGAGAAGACTAATTTCTTTGTGTCCACCTAGATTGGAATATTAGTCAGATTCTCTGTGTGGAGTTACAGATGTTCAACATATATTGGCTGTCATTTGTCCTGTCTTGAAATGCCTCAAACCTTAACTTGGGGACTTTCAGGTCATGGTCACTGTTGGGTCCTGTGAGGAAGGGCTCTTACTAGAAGTGTTTTCCCAAGAATAACCCCATTTATTGTAAGGATTAGGACTCAGTGATCATTCCCTACTTGATATATGATCACCCTAAGGCTTAAGGAGATTTCACACCTCCCCTAAAGGTCATCATAGATCTGAAGTTAAGGTAATTTCCTGTTTCTCTACAGCACAGCTTCTTCCAGTTTTTCCTCAGTGGATTTTAACTCTTTATATCAGCATGAACCAAACACATGAAGCCCAGGCAACCCCCCCCTCTCAAGTTTGGAAACAACTATTCTAACCCATGCTACAATTCTGGGTTCATGGAGTAGGTATAAAGTAGGAACTCTGTATCTTTCAGGTACTTCCAGAATCTGTTCTTTGTTTTTCTTCCCTTATCTCATCTGAGATTTTAAAAAACTTATGACCTCTCAGAGATAGAAAATTGGAGCACAGAGATTAAATAGTACTAGGGGGCAGAGTTCTGAATTCATCTGGGGTCTGCCTCACTTAGTCTGAACTTTTTGTTTAATCCTCACACAAGGATAATGTTTATTGATTTGAGAGAGAGGGAAAGGAAGAGAGAGAGAGAGAGAGAAAGAGAGAGAGAGAGAGATATCCATCAGTTGCTTTCCACATGCATCCTGAACGGGCATCAAACTCACAACCTAGGAAAGCGAACCTACAACCTTCTTGGTTTACAGGATGACGCTCCAACCAACCGAGTCACCTTGCTGGGCTTAGTCTGAACTTTTAAGGATTAAACCTTTGGTTTACCTTGCTTAACTTATGTGGTTGTTTTCCTCTGACAAGAATTGTTGAGGATTGTGGGAATTACACATGTGGAATTTTGAAACTATGCTTTTGGGGTTACCCATGTTTATATCCAGAACACTAGCAAATGCCCACACATTTGTTAGGGTCTTTTTGTCTTGCCTCCTGTAGACTGCATTCTAGGTGTTGGTTAGGTTTTATTTGCTCATCCTTCTTCTCTTTCTCCCTCATAAAGGACAAGGCTAGTCAATTCCAAGATACACCAGTGGCAGGATGTCTGCTCTGTGTTCCACAATGGGAATGTGAGAGAGCTGGACCTGAGTAACAGCAAGCTGAATGCTACATCTATGAAGAAACTCTGCTATGAGCTGAGGAATCCAAGATGCAAACTCCAAAAACTGACGTAAGTGTGAGACTCTCACAGTTTGATGAATACCATAGCAGGACAATACAATTTTTTTTTTGATTCTGACAAATAGATACTGCCAGAAAGTAAGCTAAAAAATAAAATAAAGGTGCTTGCATTAGTAAAGCTGCTACTTAGACAGGGTAGGTTGAGTATATTTTTAAAAAATAAGAATCTATTATGTGTGATCTTGCACTAGAGATACATATAGAGAAAGTAATTTTTCTTAAGACCTCAGAGTGAGGCTGGTGATTTGAGTTGGATGTAAAGGACTGGAGAAGTTTTAGGGTATTACAGGGGCATCTCTGTCTCAGTTCTGGGGTTGTGAACAGAAGGTATAATTCCTTCCTTCATGGAGCTTACATTGTGTTGGAGAAACACACCTAAATGATCAGAATAGTTTATAAGATGGTGACATCTCCCAAAGAAGAAAGAAATCCATTTCTTAAGAAGAGCCTCCTCTATCTAAAAAACACTGAGTAAAGACCTAGTCATTGAAACGGAAGCATGGGTTTGGACTTATTAGTCCTCTACTATGATGTAAATAGAAATCACAAGGTCTCAACTCCAGTGTGAAGATAGGAAAGAATGAGTAGATAGAGGAGGACCTTGTAGGAGGAGCCAGGGAAGAAATACCTGAGAGAGGGCAGAGTGAGTCACACTTAGGGTTAAATTTGAGATGGCATTTGGTTGGATGCTCTGGAGTCTTGGCCAACAAATTCTGTCCTATTCTTTGTCCACCATTCTATCATACTTCAAGGTTTACAAAATCAATCATGTGCCGATTCAATGAATTAAGAGCAGAAGATTCCGTGGTAATTATTTTCCTCAAACTTCAGTATGTTGAAGGAGCTGGATCAAGTACAGGGATGGCAGGCTTACACAGTGGTCTTTTTCATCCCCTTTCTTTCTTTTTCTCCCATTTTGGTTCTGTCATTTAATCCCCAAGGTAAAAAGAAACAAGCTCAAACAAAACAAAACAAAAAACAGGACACAGTTGTTCTCACCAGACATCTCAGGGTTGATGTTGGAGGTTACCTTCCTAGAAGAGTAGGTGCCCCAGGACCTTTTCATGGCAGATTAAGGAAGGGGAAGTTTGATGGACTCCTGGCTTTATTATTATTTTTTCAAATCTTTATTGTTGGATGTAAAATGTATTACAGATGTTCCACATTTCCCCCCCATTGACCACCTCGTCCCCACTCCCCCCCCCTCCCACCTTTTCCCACACTTTGTCTGTGTCCATTGGTTATGCATATAAGTTCTTTGGTTTACTTCTTCCCACCCCCCCAACCCCTTTCCCTTTGAGGTTTGTCAGTCTAGCAATGAATTTTTGCTTCTTAATCCCTTCACCTTTTTCACCCATTCCTCCAAACCCCTCTCTCAACTGGCAACCAACAAAATGTTCTCTGTATCTATGAGAATGTTTCTGTTCTACCTGTTCATTTTGTTTGTAGATTCCATTGTTGATAGATATGTATTCATTGCCATTTTGTTTGTTCATACATTTTATCTTTTTCTTCAAAAAGACCCTTCATCATTTCATATAATAACGGTTTGGTAGTGATGAACTCCTTTAACTTTTTCTTGTCTGGGAAAGTTTTTATATGTCCATCGATTCTAAATGTCAGCTTTGCAGGATAGAGTAATTTTGGTTGTAGGTTCTTGGTTTTCATCACTCTGAATATTTCTTGCCACTCCCTTCTGGCCTGCAAAGTTTCTTTTGAGAAATCAGCTGACAGCCTAATGGGAACTCCCTTGTAGGTAACTAGCTGCCTTTCTCTTGCTGCTTTTAAGATTCTCTCTTTGTCTTGGACCTTTTGCATTTTGATGATGATGTGTCTTGGTGTGGGCCTCTTGAGGTTCATCTTGTTTGGGACTCTCTGTGCTTCCTGGACTTGTATGTCTGTTTCCTTCACCAAGTTAGGAAAGTTTTCTGCCATTATTGTTTCAAACACGTTTTCGACTTCTTGTTCTCTCTCTTCTCCTTCTGGCACTCCCAAGATGCGAATGTTGGCACGCTTGAAGTTGTCCCAGAGGCTCCTTACACTGTCCTCATTGTTTTGGATTCTTTTTTCTTTTTGCTATTCTTATTGGGGATTTTTTGCTTCCTTATATTCCAATTCGATGGTTTGCTCCTTGGATTCACATACTCTATTATTGAAGTTGTGTAAATTATTCTTTATTTCAGTTAATGCCTCCTTCAATTCTAACTGTGTATCCATGATTTCTAACTGGTCCCTTTTTATGCTCTTGAGGCCCTCACTAAGTTCACTGAGGTTCTCACTAAGTTCATTGAGCATCCTTATAAGCAGTATTTTGAACTCAGTATCTGTTAGGTTGCTTATCTCCATTTCGCTTAGTTCTTTTCCTGGGGTTTTGTTCTGTTCTTTCATTTGGGACCTGTTTCTTTGTCTCCTCATTTTGGCTGCCTCCCTGTGTTTGTTTCAGTGTATTAATTAATGAGAGGTATGGGGCTCGCTGAGACCAGATGCTGCTCGTTTGAAAGAATTTAGGAAAAACCTGAAGCAGGACCCAAGACAGGCCAATCCTATGGTTAGGCAAGTGGCAACAGCTTGGGTGTGCTTGAAAGTTGGGTGGGGTGGGGCGGGGCCTCAGGGAGTCAGCAGGGCGGGGCTACCAGTGTGAGCCAGGTTGCTGGAATCCCAGATATGGAGACTGTCTGCTGCCCCCGGGAAGGGCTCACCAAAGGAACAAAGGCCTCTGACGGCACGTTTGTCCCCGAGAAAGCCCCCTCTCCAGCCCTCGCTCCAGTGCCAAACAGCTCAGTTCTTCCCTGTATGTCTCTGGTGCCCCTCGAGCTGCCTCCCCTCCAAGCTTAGAGGGAGACAGTCCGATAAGTCTGTGCGCGGGCCCTTTAGGGAGCTGCCTGGGGCACCCCTAGCTTCAGTTTCCGCTGGTTTTTCCAGCCAGAAGTTATGGGGACTTCTCTTCCTGGCACTGGAACCCTGAGTGGGGCACCTGGTGTGGGATGGGGACCCCTCAGTCCTCAGGAAGGACCTTCCCAGCCGCGGGAGCCTCCTGATTTTTATCCGCCACACTTGGGTGTGAGACCAGCCTGTCGCGCCACCGCCACCACCACCGCCGCCCCTCGCGCCCCCGCCCCTCCTACCAGTCTGGATGTGGCTGCTGATTTAATTCCGTAGCTGTAGGACTTCCATTCAGCTTGATTTCAGGCGGTTTTGAATGATGGTTGTTCTGTAGTTTAGTTGTAACTTTGATGTGGTTGTGGGAGGACGCGATACCGCGTTTACCTACACTGCCATCTTGAGCGGAAGTCTCCCTGGCTTTATTTTTTAATATTATTTAAAAATTTTTATATTGATTTGAGAGAGAGAGAGAGAAACATCTATTTTTGTTGTTCCACTTATTTATGCATTCATTGGTTGGTTCCTGTATGTTCCATGACTGAGGACTGGGACGATGCTCCAACCAACTGGTCTACCTGGCCAGGGCTGACTCCTGACCTTATATATCCAACTGAGCTTAGTAGTGACTCTTTTGGGGAGTACATTTTAAACCGCCTCTTCAAAGGTTCAGTACCATGACTCAAAAATCGAATTTGGAGTTCCTCTTATATCTTGTATATCCTTGATGGTATCTGTGTGTATTTTTATGGTAGAAAGGCAAGATGAGGAAGCAATATCCCCCCACCCCTCAAGCTAGCAATCCTGCTGCCTCTCTTCCTCAGGTGCAAATCGATAACCCCTGTGAGGGTTCTGAAGGAGTTGGTCCTGGTCCTTCATGGTAACAACTGGCTGACCCACCTAAATTTGAGTTCTAACAACCTGGGTGTCGCTTTGTCCATGATGCTTTTTAGAACCTTGAGGCACTCCGCATGCAACCTCAAGTACCTGTGGTAAGTCTTTGGTTTCCCAGGTCTGACCCAAGACCACCCTAGGTCTGAGGATTCATTGTGAGAACAAGGGTCAGCATGGCAGCAATGGATACAGGGGAAGATTAGCGGAGGGGAAAGAGGACATGGGTGTAGAGCATTGGTTCTTAATTTTTATTTTATTTTTAAAACTGAATTTATTCGGGTGACATTGCTTAATAAAATTATATAGATTTCAGGTGTATGATTCTATAATACATCATCTCTGAATTGCATTGTATGTTCACCACTCAAAGTCATGTCTCTTTCCATCACAATTTATCCCCCCTTTACTCTCTTCTACCTCCTTCACCCTCCCTTTCCCTCTGGAAATCACCACACTGTTGTCTGTGTCCATGAATCTTTCTATTTTTCTTTGCTTGATCCCTTCACTCTTCTCCCCAGCCCCCAACTCCTCCCTTCTGAGAGCTGTCATTCTGTTCTCTGTATTCATGAGTCTGTTTTCACTCTATTTGTTAGTTTATTTTGGTCATTAGATTCCACATATAAGTGAAATCATTTGGTACTTCTTTTTCCCTGACTGGCTTATCTCATGTAGCCTAATAATCTCTAGTTCCATCCATGCTATCACAAAGGGTAAGCAATCCTTCTTTTTTACAGCTGTGTACTATTCCATTATGTAAATGTACCACAGCTTTTTTATCTGCTCATCAACTGAGGGCACTTGGGCTGTTCTAGATCTTGGCTATTGTAAATAATGCCACAATAGCCAAGGGTGCACATATTAGTGTTTCAAGTTTCTTTGCATATATTCCCAGAAGTGGAATTGTTGGGTCATTACATTTTAATGTATATCAGAGTCATCAAGGGGTGGAGGTAGGGTGTTAAAACACAGGTTCCTGGAATCTACTCTCTCAGATCCAGTAGGTAAGCCAGTTCTGAGGTGATGCTGGACCATGGACCACACTTTGAGTGGCACTGACTCTGAGGACTCCTGCCTCTGGAATGGCTGAGGGAAGGGAAGAAGTGAGCTCTTGTTCCTGCAGCAAGGCGACCTCTCAATGAAGAGCACTCTTCCCAGGAGTCATTGCCTGTTTCGGGGTCTCTTTGATAGGTTGGAATCGTGTGGCCTCACGTCTGTGGCTTGTCATGGTCTCTTTCTGGAACTCAGCAAGAACTCCAGTCTGTGTTTCCTCAGCCTGGGTGACAACGATCTCTCTGATATCAAGGTGAAAAACTTTCAGAAGTCCTTTGACGTGTCAAAGTGTGCCCTGAGGGAGCTCTCGTAAGTCTCTCCCTTAATAAAAATATCTTCTTTGTGGGTTTGAGTGGCTGGGCAGAAATACATATGGGGAGCTCTAGGGGTCCTCCTGTTGTGTTTACCTATTCTGTGGATACATTTCTTTCTTTTTTTGTTTTGTTTTGTTAATCCTCACCAGAGGAAATTTTTTACATTGATTTTTAGAGAGAGCGGAAGGGAGGGGGAGAGGAACAGAGAGAAACATCAATATGAGAGAGATACTTCTATTGGTTACCTCCTGCATGTGCCTGACTGGCCTGGGAATTGAACCTGCAATCCAGGTACATGCCCTTGACCGGGGAATCCAGCCCATGGCCCTTCAGTGCGTGGGCCGATGCTCCAAACACTGAGCCACATTGGACGGGGTGGACACTTTTCTTATCTTTATTCTTCCCATTTTTCTCCTTAGGGCTTAGTCTTGACCAGTTTTGCCTTCACCTTGATGGTGGGCCTCACAACCTCTTTGGTTTTACCCTGTAGGCTTCTGTCAGCCTCCCCTACACCCAGTGGCTTTTGACTGGGGTGATTTTGTCCCTCAGAGGACATTGGACTATGTCCAGACACATATCTTGTTTTCACAGTTGGGAGGGGAGAATACTGGAGGCATGTGATGGATAAAGACCAGTTATAATCAAAACCCTACAATGCACCAGAGGACCTCCCACAACCAAGAATGGGCTGGCCCAATGCTCAGTAGGGCAAGGGTTGGCCCACCTTTCTCTACTTGAAGCTTTTGTTCTTTATCTTATTTTAAAATTTTATTTTGTATTGAATTTTAGAGAGAGAGAAAGAGAGAGAGAGAGAGAGAGAGAGAGAGAAAGAGAGAGAGAGAGAGATCAATGTTTGTTGTTCCACTTTTTTATGCATTCATTGGTTGATTCTTTTTTTTTATTGGCTGACTCTTGCATGTGACCTGACTGGGAATCAAACCTGCAATCTTGGCATATCAGGATGATGCTCTAACCAATTGAGTCACCTGGCCAGGGTTCTTTATTCAATTTAATCTTCTTATGATGTTTGGGTCCCAAGTGGGTGGCCCAGGGGACGGGAAGTTACACTGGGTGTAGCTGAGGCTCACTTAACATCTACACATCCACAGCCTGGAGAGATGCAACTTGTCAGCAGCCAGCTCTGAGGAGATCAGCGTGATTCTCACCAGCACCCAGAGAACAGTGCGCCTGTGCCTGGGGTTTAATCAGCTCCAGGACGATGGTGTTCGGTGGCTGTGTGCCTCCCTGAGTCAGTCTGATTGTGTCTTAGAGAGACTGGTGTAAGTTCCCCTTGGCTCCATTTCTGAAAATGACTCTCCGTGAGGGTTGGTATCAGGGAGAACAAGGGTTCCTTCACTGGGTCCCATGTCATTATTACTGTTATTACACGTAACATAGAATCTACTGTCTTAGCCTATTTTAAGCATAAATACAGTATTGTCAGCTGTAGGCACAATGCCATATATTGGATCTCCAGAATTTATCTTGTAAAAATAAAATTTTGTTCCCTTTGACCATTATTTTTGTTGTTGTTGTTAATCCTGATCTGAGGATATTTTTTCCATTGGGTTTTTTTTAGAGAGAGTGGAAGGGAGGGAGAGAGAGAGAGAGAAACACTGATGTGAGAGAAACACATTGATCAGTTGCCTTCCACATACACCCTGACCGGGGTCAGGGATTGGACCTGCAACCCAGGTATGTTCCCTTGACCAGGAATTGAACCCACAACCCTTTGTTTCTTGGGTGATGCTCTAACCACTGAGAAACACTGGCCAGGGCTTGACCATCATTCTTTTATTTTTGTTTTTATCCAACCACAATGACAGGCACTTTCTAGCTGAGCTTGCTCTCTGAGGCTGGAACAGGACAGGATCCCTTGGCACATGAGGATCCTCAGCATGTCCTGGGTGAGGGGCCAGGGGCGCACTGTGGTGAACCCAGAGGCAGGCCAATGGCTTGGGCCCCAGGGCCTTGGTGGGGCTGCAGTCCCCAGCTGCTGTCTCCACGGCTCTCCACCCACAGGCTCTGCTTCTGCCAGCTGGGTGCACCCAGTTGCAGGCACCTGTCAGACGCCCTTCTGCAGAACCGGAGTTTGACTCACCTGACTCTGAAGAAGAACCACCTGGGCGATGAGGGGGTGAGGCTTCTGTGTGAAGCACTGAGCTGCCCAGACTGCAGACTGCAGAGCCTGAAGTAAGTACCACACCTGTCTCTCGTTTAGCGGGTGGACCCTCGAGAGCCTCAGATCTAGGTGCGGGTTTGTCCTGGGTGTAGAGTATTCTTGGCACAGAGAAGCTTTTGCTTTTGTTGAAGGTGGGGGTATGCATGGTGCATAGTGGAAAACAGGGGTGACTGTTCAGGACCAGCCGCAATGCTGTCTGAGTCCCCTCAGGCCCCATGACTCCTGAAGAGGACTAGGAGAACGCTGCATAGAGCCGTCTGGCTGTGGTTGGTTATAGTCAAAGGAGACAGAAACATGAGGAGGAGGAGATGCCAGGGAAAGTCTGCAGGAAACCAGGTGCAAGCTCCTAGGAATTCTCCCCCATTGGAGTCGCCAGCACACACACAATAACCCCAGCACCGAGTGGTGACAACACATGGGGAATGACGTCCTCCAGGGAGGGTTCCCGCAGCCTCTGTGCTCAGGTTTTCACTGGATGCAGGTCCTGTGGCTACTATCCGCCTCGTCTTTCCCAATACTCCAGACTCCTAGGAGCAAAGCAGGGCTCAGTATAAACCACACGTTTGCACAGTTTAGGGGCATGAGTCATCCTGTGGTGAGTGTCCCAGAGAGCAGTCCTTCCCGGGGGAGATCTCTCTCTCTCTCTCTCTCTCTCTCTCTCTCTCTCTCTCTCTCACACACACACACACACACACACATGAGGATAAAAAACCACTGTGGGGCCAGGATGAGAAGCCATCTCTGGTGTCCCTCTTTCCCTCGGAAGAAAGTGAAGTGGGCTGGAGCTTATATAGACTGAGGCCTTGGGATGATTTCCCCCACCTTGTACATTTTGGGGCAGGGTAATTCTCACCTGAGGATATTTTTCCCATTGATTTTTAGAGAGAGTGGAAGGGAGGGTGAGAAGGAGAGAGAGAGAGAGAGAGAGAGGGAGAGAGAGAGAGAGAAACATCGATGTGAAAGAATCACGTTGACCGGCTGCCTGCCTGAACCCTGACCAGGGCTGGGAATCAAACCTGGGACCCTTCTGTGTGTGAGCTGATGCTCTAACCACTGAGAAACTCATTCAGGGCCTCTCGTACATTTTTATGTGCAGTCTGTCGCAGTGCTCCTTCACAGTGGGGGGCTGTCAGGAGCTGGCGGGAGCCCTGCAGCACAACCGCCACATGAAGGTGTTGGACATCGGGAGGAACTGCGTTCAGGACGATGGAGTCAAGCGGCTGTGTGAGGTTCTGAAATGGTCGAGTTGCACCCTGAACACACTTGGGTGAGTCGCCGCTGTTCTGCAGGGGTGGAGACAGATACTACAAGGTCACATGAGGGGTAAGAGGGTGAGGCAAAGTGAAAGACAAAGTTCTTTCAAAAATCTCTTTGTGCCCAGCCAGTGCGGCTCAGTGGATTGAGCGGCTTCCCATGAACTGAGAGGTCCTGGTTGGATTCCAAGTCAGGGCACATGCCCGAGTTGCAGGCTCGATCCCCAGTAGGGGGCGTGCAGGAGGCAGCCGATGGATGTTTCTCAGTCACATCGATGTTTCTCTCTCTCCCTTCTTCTCTCTCTCAAGAAAAAATAAATCAATAAAAATTTTAAATCGTTCTGCTTCTAGGTTTTTTTTAAGATTTTCTGTTTTTAATTTTTATTGTTGACACTATTACAGATGTTCCCATTTTCCCCGCTTTGACCCCCTCCACCCAGCCCCTGCTTCCCACTCTCTCTGGCCATTGCCACACTGTTGCCTGTGTCCATGGGCTACCCATATATGTTCTTTGGCTAATCCCTTCACCTTATTTCATCCAGGCCCGCCCTTCCTCCCCTCTGAGATCTGTCAGTCTGTTCCATGTACCTATGTCTCTGGACCCATTTTGTTTGTCAGTGTCTTTGTTCATTAGATCGCACATATAGGAGAGATCATATGGTACTTAACTTTCTCTGGCTTATTTCACTTGGCGTAATGCTCTCCAGGTCCATCCAAGCTGCTGCAAAGGGTAAGAGTTCCTTCTTTTTTACAGTTGTGTAGTATTCCACTGTGTGAATATACCACTGTCATTTCTTTCTCCGTGTCAGAGGACCACCTTTAACCCTCCCTTCCCACCCCTCCCCAGGCTGGAGAAATGCAATCTGACTTCTGCTTGCTGCCAGCATCTCTCTTCGGTTCTTGGAAGCAGTAAAAGCCTGGAGAACCTGAACCTCCTAGGAAATGACTTGGGGCCCGAAGGTGTCAACATGCTGTGGAAGTCCTTGCAAAAATCAACGTGCAAACTACAGAAACTCGGGTAACCCCCACTGACTTTTACAGGGCCTGCTGAGATGAGACAGGTCATCTAACATTTAAAGCAGATATCTAGCTGACCCTGAATCCCGTTTGCTAGGGCAGTGCTGGCCAACAGAGGCAGTAATAATGAGCATGGTGTGTGGCTGCACGCCCAGTAGAGTAGCCACAGGTGGCAACTGGGCACTTGCGATGTGGTCAGCATTCTTGAGGAACTGAACTTTATTTTTAATATTTTAACAATGGATTTTAGAGAGAAAGGGAGAGAGAGAAAGGAGATTTAGATGAATTGGTTGACACCTGCATGCATCCCAACCAAGGACTGAACCCTCAACCTGGGCATGTGCCCTGACTGGGACTTGAACTCGCCACATCTTGGTACATAGGATGATGCTCAGCCAACTGAGCCACACTGGCCAGAGAAGAACCTCAATTTTTAAGCTTTCTTTAGTTTGAATTAACCTAAATAGCCACATGGGGCTAGCAACTCCCATATTGGGGGATGCAGTCCTATGGACATTTGGGTATTTTCGGAGCCACCCCCTTTTCCTCAGTATAGTACCTACTCTATTTCAGTCAACAGACATCTACTCAACAACTTCCTTTTCAGAGCTGACTATGGGTCAAGCACGGCGGCTGGGTAGACAGTGGGGAACAAATGGATGTGAGCCTGGTCCCCAGGGATATGGCAAATCTGAGACCTATAAAAGCAGTGTTGGTTGTCATGAATGCTATGAAGGAAATTATGAGTTGTGGTATGGGTGATCAGGGCGGTAAGGAGAGGCATGTCTGAGGTGGTGTCATTGACCCTGAGTCCCATGAGGCTGGAAGGAGGAACCCCTGTATCAGGCAGGGAACATGGATATGATGAAATGAAGGGTAGGGTGCCCCAGAAAATAGCAGTAGCATGTGCAAAGGTCCTGTGGTTGGGCCAAGCTTTGTGTGGCCCCTTCAGGACATCAAAAGAGCATTTAATTAGATCATGCTCCACCTTACTAATCTCAAGATGAGGTCAGCAAGGTGAGCAGTTGTTCTTTTCCTGGAGAAAGATCCTAACCTAGGTGTATTTTAGCAGAAATCATATCAGACACCAAGAAACCTTGCCTACTTGAATGTTGGTGAAAATCTGTACATTGATTCATTCATGTCACCGACTTTACATCTAAGTAATGCATTTTTACAAGAGTTCTGGTGCCCTGGCCAGGTGGCTCAGTTGATTGGGGCATTTTTCATATACCAAAAGGTTGCAGGTTTGATTTCTGATTGTTGCATGTGTGGGAGGCAACCAATCAATGTTTCTCTCTCACATCAATGTTTCTCTTTCCCCCTTCTTCTCTCTCTAAAATCAATAAAAACATACCCTGGGATAAGGATTTTTTAAAAAAGAGTTCTGGGCTGGTGACCACCAGAGTTGGACGTATCTCCCCTTACCCATCCTGTGTGTGTGAGATTCACGTCATAGAGGAGGCCTCTGACAGGTACCCAGACTCTCAGCTCCTAAGGAAGAGAAGGCTAAAACTTAATTTCGCAAAAGTCTGCCACACATAGGCTAATAAAAGAAATGAGAAGAATCTGATTGATACACAAGGAAACAAGGACCGAGTTACCCTGTCCTGTGTCTCTTTTTCCCTGTTCCCAAAGAGTTCCCTTCTTTTTTCTTTCTGGTGGTGACTTCCCTTACACACAGGATGTTTTACCCTTCAGATCTCCTTCCAAACCTCTCTGGGTGATGCTGGACATGCATCCAAATGAGGTCAAACACAAGTTAGCTTTTGAATTTTATCATCTCAGTCACCTCTTCTGATTCTCCATTCTATTTTTTTTGCTTGTTTTTTTTTTTTTTTTTTTTTTTTTTTTTTGCAGGCTGGAGGAGGACTTATACCATCTAGTAAAGGGGAAGTTGAAGGAGTTACAGGAGAAGGGGTATTTTCTGAGAATCCTGTGTAAGTGGGATTTTAATGACCTTGAAGATAAATGGTGGTGGTGACCCAAGGATGAGATGACTCCACTTTCCTGTGGAAGGTTCTTGGAACAGAATCACCAGGAGGTCCTCACCGATGTATTGTTCAGGTGTCACTGTGTGGGGGACAAATAGGCTCTATTGTTTTTCCAGTGTGTTCAAGGCAGCATATTAAATACCCAATCTCCAGAATCTTAGTCGAATGCTCTATTTGGCCCTGAGAGCCTACGTTGGCTACAAGTATTTTTTGTCTTTCCTTGGTGTAATGTTCTAAATTCTTGGGTGTGTTACAAAGATTCAATAAAATAAAGGATATAAAAATAACTTGGAGAAAATGTACAGCTTCATTTCTCATGAATTGAGAGTTGGTAACAGATGTGATTACCATTCCATAATTATCATACTGTGATGAAATAAGCCAGGTGGACCCCTGGAACTACTCTTAATACGCAGATACACCCAACTGTGCCTTCTGCATCTGTCTTTGAGTAACCTGTGTAACAACTAAATGGGTCACCCGCTTGAAATTTTACCCACTTGAAAATACCAAGGAGCATGGACCCCACACTGGAGACAATGTGAAATCTATAATGCCATGCATGGAATTGTATATGAGGAATAAAAGTTTATTAAATTGTAATTTTATCTCCTTCACACCAAGCTTCTTCCTTGTACTACTTGCTCCATAAGCAGAAGCTATCAGGAGTAGTGTTAGGGTACAGTTGGAAATTTGCCTATTTTGCATTCCATAGCTTATAAAACATCCTCAAGGTTGTCTCAATCTCCATCAAAGCCGTCCTGTAGGTAGAGACATCCCTACTGTGTGGTAAATGAGAACATGGGCCCCTTCCTCTGCTCCCCATCCCTCTCCTATGCTGTGGGAAGGTGAAGGCCATCGGTACTTGGACTGTGAGACCTTGGGAACCTGGCCAGTTCCTCAGTCAAGAAAATAGCTAGCAGATTTTATCTCTCGGAGCTGGTGTGAAAACACATCCCCTTCCCATGCATGCCCTATATTTTTCCGTTTCCTGCCCTCTATAAAACCTTGTGTTGGGGAAGTCTGGTGGGGGTGGGGTTGGGGGTAGAACAATAGCACCAGCCACTCCTGGCGTGGCTCACCCACAGGCCCAATGCAACTTCACTGGTGGCAGCTGGTGTGGCAGTAAATATCACCTATCAGTTACCACCAATGTGCATGTAAATCCTAATGAACCCATGTCTTCCTCAGCCAGGCCTCCAGGTTACTTCTTTGGAATCCAAGAATATGCTAAGGTTTCCTGGGACCTCAGCACTTTGCATAACATCTACTTTCCTGATTTAAAAACAGATACTGAGAGGGGAAGACAGTGAAATGACCAACCTTTGAATGCAACCCTTTTGTTTGTTTTTATCTTTATTGTTGAATGTATTACAGATGTTCCTCATTTTTTCCCCATTGACTCCCTCCTCCCCACTCCCACCCTCCTCCTGCCTTTTCCCACACTGTTGTCCATTGGTTATGCATATAAGTTCTTTGGTTTATTTCTTCCCAACTCCAAACCCCCTTCCCTTTGAGGTTTGTCAGTCTAGCAACCAATTTGTACTTCTTAATGCCTTCACCTTTTTTACCCATTCCCCCAAACCCTTTCCCATCTGGCAACCAACAAAATGTTCTCTGTATGTATGAGAATGTTTCTGTTCTGCCTGTTCATTTTGTTTGTAGATTCAATTGTCGATAGATATGTATTCATTGCCATTTTGTTTGTTTGTTCATATATTTTATCTTTTTCTTCAAAAAGACCCTTCAACATTCCATATAATAATGGTTTGGTGGTGATGAACTCCTTTAACTTTTTCTTGTCTGGGAAACTCTTTATATGGCCTTCGATTCTAAATGACAGCTTTGCAGGATAGAGTAATCTTGGTTGTAGTTTCTTGCTTTTCATCACTCTGAATATTTCTTGCCACTCCCTTCTGGCCTGCAAAGTTTCTTTTGAGAAATCAGCTGACAGTCTTATGGGAACTCCCTTGTAGGTAACTAACTGCTTTTCTCTTGCTGCTTTTAAGATTCTTTGTCTTGAACCTTTTGCATTTTGGTGATGATGTGTCTTGGTGTGGGCCTCTTGGGGTTCATCTTGTTTGGGACTCTCTGTGCTTCCTGGACTTGTATGTCTGTTTCCTTCATCAAGTTAGAGAATTTTTCTGCCATTATTGTTTCAAACAGGTTTTCGATTTCTTGTTCTCGCTCTTCTCCTTCTGGCACCCCAAGATGCAAATGTTGGCATGCTTGAAGTTGTCCCAGAGGCTCCTTACACCATCCTCATTTTTTGTACTCTTTTTTCGTTTTGCTGTTCTGATTGGGTGTTTTTTGCTTCTTTATATTCCAAATCAATGGTTTGTTTCTTGGCTTTACCTACTCTACTATTGAATCTGTGTAAATTATTTTTTATTATAGTTAGTGCCTCCTTCATTTCTGACTGTGCATCCATCATTTCTGACTGGTTCTTTTTTATGCTCTTGAGGCCCTCACTAAGTTCACTGAGGTTCTCACTAAGTTCATTGAGCATCCTTATAAGCAGTATTTTGAACTCAGCATTTGTTAGGTTGCTTATCTCCACTTCACTTACTTCTTTTCTTGGGACCTGTTTCTTTGTCTCCTCATTTTGGCTTCCTCCCTGTGTTTGTTTCTGTGTATTACTTAACGAGTGGTATGGGGATAGCTGAGACCAGATGCTGCTTGTTTGAAAGAATTTAGGAAATCCTGAAGCAAAATCCAAGACAGGCCAATCCTATGGTTAAGAAACTGGCAACAGCTTGGGTGGGCCTGAAAGGTGCTGGGGTGGGGCCTCAGGGAATCACCAGAGTGGGGCTATCAGTGTGAGCCAGGTTGCTGGAGTCCCAGATATGGTGGCTGTCTGCCGCCTCATGGAAGGGCTCACCAAAGGAACAAAGGCCTCTGACTGCATGTCTGCCCCGAAGAAAAGCCCCCTCTCCAGTTCTCACTCCAATGCCAAACAGCTCAGTTCTTCCCTGTATGTCTCTGGCACCCCTTGAGCTGCCTCCCCTCCAAGCTTAGAGGGAGTGAGTCTGAGTAAATCCATGCGCAGGTCCTTTAAGAGGAGCTGCCTGGGGCTCCAACCGCCTCAGTCTCCCTGAGCCTCAGTTCCCACTGGTTTTCCAGCCAGAAGTGATGGGGATTCTCTTCCTGGCACTGGAACCCTGAGTGGGGCACCTGGTGTGAGACGGGGACCCCCTCAGTCCTCAGGGAAGACCTTCCCAGCTGAGGTAGCCTCCTGATTTTTATTCACACAGACTGTTGTGAAACCAGCCTGTCCATCTCCGCCCCTCCTACCAGTCTGGATGTGGCTGCTTCTTTAATTCCGTAGTTGTAGGGCTTCCATTCAGCTTGATTTCAGGCGGTTTTGAATAATGGTTGTTCTGTAGTTGTAACTTTGATGTGGTTGTGAGAGGATGCGATACCGTGTTTACCTATCAGCTATCTTGACCAGAAGTCCCCCTTTTGTTTTTTCACACTCACCTAATTTTTATTACAGTATCATGTTCTATTTCATTATTAGTTATTTTTGTTAATATCTTACTATAAGAGTTGACATGCCTACAAGAGCCTATGAGATCTTCCAATATGTTGGATGCCCTGGGGACATGTATATAAACTAATTTAGAAAATTGTGTCAAGGTAGAGACTTTAAAAATAATCAAAGATCTGGAAGCAGCCAATGTGCCTATCAGTAGATGAAGGGATAAAAAGGCCATGGCACAGGCCTGGCCGGGTGGCTCAGTTGGTTGGAGCATTGTCCCTTACACCAAAAGTTTACAGGTTTGATCCCAGGTCAGGGCACATGTAAGAATCAACCAATGAATGTGTAAATAAATGGAACAACAAGTCAGTCTCTCTCTCTCTCTCTCTCAATGAATGAAAGTTAGAAAAAAAATTACATATTTTAAGATACAAAATTTTATTGAGAGTTTATAGGGTCATCATAAGACAAGAGGGAGCATTTATCTTGAAGGTCTCTCTGTGGCTTGCCCAAAGCCACAAAGCAAATAAAAACCTCAAATACACAACACATAAAACACATCCGAATGGGGTTCCCGAAAAATCAGGGTCAGTCCTTTGTAGTTTCTGGGCACAGAGTAGATGTACATCAGGGCCCCAATACTTAGCCTTCAAAGCTGCTCCTGAGCCTGAAAGTCCAGCTTATGAGCTGACTTCTGCCCATTTGCTCCTGGGTCTGTTTTGTTACTCATCTCTGATTGTCAAGTCGGGGTTTCTCTCTTTCTCAGCCACCAGAAGTCTCTGCGTTTCCTCATCAAATTCAGCTATTTTCAGCCTGGCAAATATAAAAGGGGCTCTATTTAATTTATACCTTTTTTTTCCTTCTCTGTATTTTTTTAAGAAATGTTTTTATTGATTTTAGAGAGAGAAACATTGATGGGAGAGAGAAACATCAATTTTTTGCCTTTCACATGCACCCCAACTGGGTAGAACCTGAAACCGGGGCACGTGCCCCGACCAGGAATCAAACCAGCAGCCATTTGGTGTTCAGGCTGATGCTCAACCAACTGAGCTACACCAGCCAGGGCTCCTTCTCTGTATCTTATTTTTCTCCATCTTTTCTTCCCTGAGCAAGCCATGAGAAAAGACACAGGATCAGGCAGCTGTGTGCTGGTGAATTTGTGATACCTGGCTGTCACACACACATGCTCTGATGGGTCATGCCATGTATTTCTGTGGGATAAATTTTCCCACCATGGCCAATATCCAGCTGCCACCATGATGTCCCTAAACACAGCACTGGGAAGAGCTATACACACAGCGTTCTCCCAGCTGGGAGGAGGTGTCTCTAACATGTCACTGGGCCAAATCAATATCCGGTGTAACAGAAAGCCCTGATTCCACCTAAACATCAGGGTTTGGGACAGGAAGTCAGTGGGAGCTCGGGAGCAAGACCAAAGCTATTTTTATTGTCAGGAACATAAAATAATAATTCTATTTTTTTCTTCCTAAACTTATTTTTATTGTTGAATATATTACAAATGTCCTCCTTTTCCCCCATTGACCCCCTTCTCCCCACTCCCACCCTCCTCCTGCCTTCCTCACACTATTGTCTGTGTCCATTGGTTATGCATATATGCATATAAATTATTTGGTTTATCCCTTCCCACCCCCCTTCCCTTTGAGATATGTCACTCTAACAACCAATTTGCCCTTTTTAATTTCTTCACTTTTTCACCCATCCACCCAACTCCCCTCCCATCTGGCAACCAACTAAAAGTTGTCTGTATCAAATAGCTGATTGGGTAAGAAAGCATGACTGACTTCCGGTCAAGATGGCGGGTAGGTAAACGCGGCATCGCGTCCTCCCACAACCACATCAGAGTTACAACTAAACTACAGAACCACCATCATTCAAAACCGCCTGAAATCAAGCTGAATGGAAGTCCTACAACTACGGAATTAAAGCAGCAGCCACATCCAGAGTGGTAGGAGGGGCGCTGGTGGCGGCGGGAGGGGCGCTGGCGGCGGCGGCGGCGGGAGGGGCGGCGGCGGCGGCGGCGGCGGCGGCGGCGGCGGCGGCGGCGGGAGGGGCGGCGGGAGGGGCGGGTCCCACACCCAAGTGTGGCAGATAAAAATCAGGAGGACACCTTGGCCAGAAAGGTCTTTCCTGAGGACCGAAGTGTCCCTGTCCCACATCAGGTGCCCCACTCAGGGTTCCAGTGCCAAAAATAGAAGTTCCCATCACTTCTGGCTGGAAAATCCAGCAGGACCTGAGGCTCAGGGAAGCTGAAGCGGCTGGAGCCCCAGGCAGCTCCCTACAGGGTCCGCACGCAAACTTATCGGACACTCTCCCTCTAAGCTTGGAGGGGAGGCAGCTCGAGGGGCACCAGACTCATACAGGGAAGAACTGAGCTGTTTGGCACTGGAGCGAGGGCTGAAGAGGGGGCTTTCTCTAGGACAAACGTGCTGTCAGAGGCCTTTGTTCCTTTGGTGAGCCCTTCCCGGGGGCAGCAGACAACCCCATATCTGGGACTCCAGCAACCTGGCTCACACTGGTAGCCCCGCCCTGGTGACTCCCTGAGGCCCCACCCCACCCCACCCAACTTTTAAGCTCACCCAAGCTGTTGCCACTTGCCTAACCATAGTATTGGTCGGTCTTGGGTCCTGCTTCAGGTTTTTCCTAAATTCTTTCAAACGAGCAGCATCTGGTCTCAGCGAGCCCCATACCTCTCCTTAAGTAATACACTGAAACAAACACAGGGAGGCAGCCAAAGTGAGGAGACAAAGAAACAGGTCCCAAATGAAAGAACAGAACAAAACCCCAAGAAAAGAACAAAACCCCCAAAAAAGAACTAAGCGAAATGGAGATAAGCAACTTAACAGATACTGAGTTCAAAATACTGCTTATAAGGATGCTCAATGAACTTAGTGAGAACATCAGTGAACTTAGAGAGGGCCTCAAGAGCATAAAAAAGGACCAGTCAGAAATCATGGATACACAGTTAGAATTGAAGGAGGCATTAACTGAAATGAATAATTTACACAGCTTCAATAATAGAGTACGTGAATCCAAGGAGCAAACCATGGATTTGGAATATAAAAAAGGAAAAAATGCCCAATCATAACAGCAAAATGAAAAAAGAATTAAAAAAAATGAGGATAGTGTAAGGAGCTTCTGGGGCAACTTCAAGTGTGCCAACATTCGCATCTTGGGGTTGCCAGAAGGAGAAGAGAGAGAACAAGAAATCAAAAACCTGTTTGTAACAATAATGGCAAAAAACTTTCCTAACTTGGTGAAGGAAACAGACATACAAGTCCAGGAAGCACAGAAAGTTCCAAACAAGATGAACCCCAAGAGGCCCACACCAAGACACATCATCATCAAAATGCAAAAGGTTCCAGACAAAGAGAGAATCTTAAAAGCAGCAAGAGAAAGGCAGTTAGTTACCTACAAGGGAGTTCCCATAAGACTATCAGCTGATTTCTCAAAAGAAACTTTGCAGGCCAGAAGGGAGTGGCAAGAAATATTCAGAGTGATGAAAAGCAAGAACCTACAACCAAGATTTCTCTATCCTGCAAAGCTGTCATTTAGAATTGATGGCCATATAAAGAGTTTCCCAGACAAGAAAAAGGTAAAGGAGTTCATCACCACCAAACCATTATTATATGGAATGTTGAAGGGTCTTTTTGAAGAAAAAGATAAAATATATGAACAATCAAAATGGCAATGAATACATATCTATCGACAATGGAATCTACAAACAAAATGAACAGGCAGAACAGAAACATTCTTATAGATACAGAAAACATTTTGTTGGTTGCCAAATGGGAAGGGGTTTGGGGGAATGGGTGAAAAAGGTGAAGGCATTAAGAAGTACAAATTGGTTGCTAGACTGACAAACCTCAAAGGGAAGGGGGTTGGGGGGTAGGAAGAAATAAACCAAAGAACTTATATGCATAACCAATGGACAACAGTGTGGGAAAAGGCAGGAGGGGGGTGGGAGTGGGGAGGAGGTGGTCAATGGGGGAAAAATGTGGAACATCTGTAATACATTTTACATCCAACAATAAAGATTTTTAAAAAGCATGACTCACATATATGTTCTTTACAAGAGACCCACCTCACAACAAAAGACTCACATAGGTTGAAAGTGAAAAGATGAAGAAAAATCTTCCAAGCAAATGGAAAAAAAAAAAAAAGAACTGGGGAAGCAATACTCATATTTGATCAAATAAACTTCAAAATGAAGGCCACAACTAGAGACAAAGAAGGCTACTACATAATATTGACAGGATCTATTCAACAGGAAGATATAACCTTGGTAAATCACACAACACAGGAGCCCCAAAATATATTTTAAAACTTCTGGAGGACTTCAAGGAAGAAATTGACAGCAATACAATCATAGCAGGGGACTTCAACACCGACTGACATTACTGGATAGATCCTCTAGACAAAAAATTAACAAGGATACAGAGATTCTAAATGATGCACTATATCAAATGGTTTTAATAGATATCTACAGAAAATTATACCCCAAAACTGCAGAATTCACATTCCTTGCAAGTGCACATGAGACATTCTCAAAGATAGACCACATGTTAGGACACAAACTAAGTCTCTACAAGTTCAAAAAAATCGAAATCATATCAAGCATTTTCTTAGATCACAATGGCTTGAAACTAGAAATAAATTAAAGCAAAAACATTTAAACACATGGAGGCTAAATAGCATGTTATTAAACAATGAATGAGTTGCCAAGGAGATCACGGAAGAAATTTAAAAATTCCTGAAAACCAATGAAAATGAACACACAACACAAAATCTATGGGACACAGCAAAAGATGCCCTGAGAAAGAAGTTCATAGCACTACAGGCCTGCCTCGAGAAACAAGATATATATCTAATTGGCTATCTAACCTCACAACTTAAACAACTAGAAAGCAAGCAAGCAAGCAAGCAAACAAACAAACAAAAAACTAGAGCAAGTAGAAGGAAAGAAATAGTAAAGATCAGAGCAGAAATAAATGACATAGAGACTAAAAAACTAATTTAAAATATCAATAAAACAAAGAGCTGGTTCTCTAAAAGGATAAACAAGATTTATGGATCCTTAGCTAGATTCACCAAGAAACAAAGAGAGAGCCCAAATACACAAAATTAGAAACAAAAGAGAAGTAACAACAGACACCACAGAAATACAAAGGATCATTAACAAATACTATGAACAATTATACATCAACAAATTGGACAATCTAAGCAAAATGGACAAATATCTAGGAACACATACGCTTCCAAAACTGAACTGGGAAGAGATAGAAAACTTGAACAGACCAACAACAACTAAGAAAACTGAAGATATAATCAAGAATCTCCCAGCAAACAAAAGCCTGGTCCTGGATGGTTTCATGGGGGAGTTTTACCAAATATTCAAAGAAGAACTAACACCCATTCTCCTCAAATATTTAAAAAAATTCAAGAAGGAAGAATCATTTTTATGAGGCCAGCAAAATTCTAATTCCAAAACGAGATAAAGACACTACGAAGAAAGAAAACTACAGGCCAATATCTTTGATGAACATAGATGCCAAAATCCTTAACAAAATATTAGCAAATTGGATCCAACAATACATTATAAAAATTATTCACCATGACCAAGTGGGATTCATCCCAGGGATGCAAGGTTGGTACAATATTCGCAGACCAATAAATAGTATACACCACATAAACAAAATGAAAGATAAAAACCATATGATCATATCAATAGATGCTGAAAAAGCATTCAATAAAATCCAGCATTTATTTCTGATAAAAACGCTCAGCAATGTGGGAATAGAGGGATCATATCTCGATATAATAAACGCCATATATGGAGGACCTACAGTCAATTAAAACAACTATGAGGTATCACCTCACACCTATCAGAATGGCTACCATCAACAAATAATCAAACAAGTGCTGGTGATGGTGTGGAGAAAAGGGGACACTAGCATACTGCTGGTGGGAATGCACGCTGGTGCAGCCACTATGGAAAACAATATGGTGTTTCCTCAAAAAATTAAAAATAAAACCTCCATTTGTTCCAGTGATCCTACTTCTAGGAATATATCCTAAGAAGCCTGAAACACCAATGAGAAAGAATATATGTACCCCTATGTTCATAGCAGAACTATTTACAATTGCTAAGATCTGGAAACAGCCCAAGTGTCCATCAATAGATGAGCGGATAAAAAAGCTGTGGTACATATACATAATGAAATGCTATGTAGCTGTAAGAAGGAAAGATCTCGTATCTTTTGAGACAACATGGAGGAACATGGAGAGTATTATGCTAAGCAAAATAAGCCAATCAGAGAAAGACAAATACCACATGATCTCACTTATTTGTGGAATATAATGAACAAAAACATCTGATGAACAAAATAGACCCGGAGACATAGAAAAGAGTATGGTTCAGACTGACAAAGCTCGGGGGTGGGGGGGTGGGGGAGATAAACCAAAGAACTTATATGCATCTATGCATAACCAATGGACATAGACAACAATGCTTGGTGGGGGGTGGGATAGGAAGGAGGGTGTCTGTGGGGGAAAAAGGAGAACCATCTATAACAAAAATAATAAAAATAAATAAATAAATAAATTTTAAAAAGTTCTCTGTATCTATGATTCTGTTTCTGTTCTGCTTGCTCCTTTTGTTTGTAGATTCAATTGTTGATAGATGTGTATTTATTGCCATTTTATTGGTCATATTTTAATTCTTCTTCTTCAAGAAGACCCTTGAACATTTCATATAATACAGGTTTGGTGGTGGTAAACTCCTTTAGCTTTTTCTTTCTTTTTTTAAATCCTCACCGGAGGACATTTTTCCATTCTTTGTTTAGATAGAGCCAGAGGGAGAGAGGAAGAGAGAGAAACATCGACATGAAAGGGACACATTGAGTGGCTGCTACCTGCATGACCCAACCAGGGCCAGGGACAAACTGCAACCGAGGTACATACCTTTAGTGGGAACTGAACCCGGGTCTCTCTGGACTGCAGGCAGACGCTCTAACCGCTGAGCCAAACCGGCTAGGGCTCTTTTAGTTTTTCTTTTCTGGGAAACTCTTGATATGTCCATTGATTCCAAATGATAACTTTGCTTGATACAGTAATCTTGGTTGTAGGTCCTTGCTTTTCATCACTCTGAATATCTCTTGCCACTCCCTTCTGGCCTGCAAAGTCTTTTTTGAGAAATCACAACGGACAGTCTTATGGGAGCTCCCTTGTAGGTAACTAACTGCTTTTCTCTTGCTGCTTTTAAGATTCTCTTAGTCTTGAACCTTTTGCATTTTGATTATGATGTGTCTTGATGTGGGCCTCTTTGGATTCATCTTGTTTGGGACTCTGTGCTTCCTGAACTTGTATGTCTGTTTCCTTCACCAAGTTAGGGAAATTTTCGGTCATTATTTTTTCAAATAAGTTTTCAATTTCTTGCCCTCTCTCTTCTCCTTCTGGCACTTCCTCGAGGTAAATGTTGGTATACTTGAAGTTGTCCCAGAGGCTCCTTACACTATTCTCAAGTTTTTTGGATTCTTTTTTCATTTTGCTGTTCTGATTGGGTGTGTTTTGCTTCCTTATATTCCAAATTGATGGTTTGCTGCTTGGCTTCACCTACTCTACTATTCATTTCCTATAAATTGTTACTATTTTTTTTTGGTACGTGCTCCTAGTGGGAACCGAACCTGGGACTCTCTGGTCCACAGACCGATACTCCAACTGGTTGGTCGTGTGGGTGGCAACCACTCGATGTGTCTCTCACATAGATGTTTCTCTCTTTCTCTCTTCCTCTCTCTCCCTCCCACTCTATCTGAACAAAAACCAAAATAATGTCCTCAGGTGAGGATAAAAAACAATTATAGGTATAATATGTATTACAATTATATGTATAATTATAAACTTACAATTACAGTGATAATTATACATATAATATGAAATTATATTACAATATATAATATGTATATTGTCTAGTATATTTATAATTATAAATGGGTATATTTTAATATATTATATCTTTATAACTATACTTAAATATATATTATAATTATAAGTCTATAACGATGATACACATGTAGTTTTATTTTAGATAATTATTTTATGATATTTTATAATTATATATGTAATTATAAATATAATTTGTTAAATTTTAATTTTAATATGTAATATATAGTGTAATATAAATATAATAAAATATATTAAATATAATAAAAATTTATGTTTATAATCATGCGTATTTAAATATATTAAACATAACTATAACTCATGTGTAAATATGCATGATTATAATTATTATAATTATAATTTGCACTATGATTATATTATGATTTGCACTATAATCATATCATACTGTGTGTTATAATTACTATAGTGGTAATTCACACTATAATTACATTATAATTTGCACTATAATTGTATTAGAATATGTATTATAATTATCATGATTATAATTCCCACTATATATTATAATTTTTGTTATAATTGTATTAGAATGCATTACAATTATTATGATTATATTTAGCACTCTTGTTACATTATAATTAGTATCATCACAGTACCAGTGCCACCATTTATTGGGCGCTCACCGGTCACTATGCTCCATCAGGGATTTAAGTTTTTCACTCCTGCAACAACCCGGAGACAGGGGGCATCGTTTGCACTTTAACTGCAGTGAGACTGGACCATGGAGGCTCCGCACTCAGCCCATTGCCCTTCCTCAGTTCAGATCTGTCCCCCCAAGAAGCTCAGGCACAGCTCACCCCAGAGTCCGCAGCCTGCATTCTGGGTGTCTCAGGGCGGCACACAGCACCAGCACCCCATTGCGGTCCAAGGCATTTCCCATCAGATTGAGTGTCTTCAGGGTTCTGTTGCTGGTGAGAACAGAAGCAAGGTCCTCACAGCAGGCGCTGGTCAACTTGCATGCACCTAGCCTGCAACAGACACACGGTGAGAAGTGGCCCATCCTCGGGGGAGGAGGTGGCAGTCGATAGCATGTGAGCTAGATGTTTGGTCAAGGCTCGCCCCTCGCCTCCACCTACAACATCCAACAGTCCAGTGCTTATGGTATCTGCTGACTGCTCTGGGGTAGATAGTGCAAGTGGCTGTACTCATCTGTTCCACTCTGACCCAGGCCTGTGGCAATGGGACTTTGCTGCTCACCCCACTAGGGAGTAAGGTCTGTTCCCCACCCCTGCATCTGGGCTGGCCGCAGCCTTGCTTTGGTGAATATGACACAGTGGGAGCAACGTTTTGTGAGCACTGAGCTGACATCTTGCATATTTTTCATTCTCTTGAATCCCTGAGATACTGATTGTGTCCTTACAAAAATTCATGGGTTGAAGCCCTAACCCCCAGCCCTGGAAATATGACTGCAGTTGGGGATGGGGTCTTTACAGGGGCAATTAAGTTAAAATGAAGTCATTAGGTTCAGCTCTAATCCAACATGACTGTTTTCCTTAAAGAAGAGGAAATTAAGACTTGGCTGTGGACAGTGGGGTGACCCTGTAAGGACACAGGGAAGAGATGGCCATCTACAAGCTAAGGAGAGGTCTCAGGAGAAACAGTCCTGCCCACTTCTTGATCTCAGGCTTCCAGTCTCCAGAAGCATGAGGATCTACATTTCTGGGTTTAAAAAATTTTTTTTCTTTATCAATTTTAGAGAGAGAAGGGAGAGGGAGAGAGAGAGAAACATCGATGAGAGAGAACATCGACTGGTCACCTCCTGCATGCCCCCACTGGGGATTTGGCCCACACCCTGGGCATGTGCCCTGACTGGGAATCAAACTGGCAACCTCTTGGTGCATGTGTTGACACTCAACCACTGAGTCACACCAGCCGGGCATAAGTTTCTATTGTTTAAGCCACCCAGACTGTGGCCACGTCAACATGGCCAGGCTAACCAGGTAGTTATGGGACGTGGTTCAGTTATTCCTGCTGGTCTCAGTTCACAGCCAACCCATCTCCAGACTTGATAGTGAGGCCCACGTAGATCGGCCAATCAACTTGGCCACCCCCGTTCCCACTCATACCATTTCGAGATGAGCTGTGCCTGGACCAGACCAGTGGAGCCAGCCATCCTCAATGCTCACCAATTTAAGACTCTGTTTTGGCCTTGGCCAGGTGGCTCAGTGGGTTGGAGCATCATTCTCATACCAAAAGGTTGTGGGTTTGACTCCTGGTCAGGGTTCCATCCCTGGTCATGTGTATATACATTGATCTCTCTCTCTCTCTTCCCTTCCTCTCTCTCTAAAATCAACAAACATATCCCCGGGAGAGAATATAAAAAAAAAGATCTACACCAGGAGTAGTTCATTATATTATAACAGCTACCTGCTATGTGCCTCAGTGGGGTTTTTGTTTTTCTTTCTCTTACTATCCAACAGTCCTCAATCTTTGGCCACCCACCAAGAGATAGCCGTGACATGGCAGAGGTACCCACCCCAGCTGCTCTAAGTGACAGTTGGGATGCAGCAGAGCTCTGCACAGCAGTCGGACACCATCATCCTCCACGTCGTTGCGCCCAATTTGCAGATTTCTCAGGTTTGGGTTTCCAGTGAGGACGGAGGCGAGGTCGCGACAGCCATCGGACGTTATGAAACAGTTTAACAAACTGCAAGAGAACAGTAGTGATACCGCTCTTCAGGGTTACAACATTTTTTGTGGGTTTTTTTTTTTTTTTTTAAACCCTCACCCGAGGATAGGCGCATTGATTTGAGACAGAGAGTGGCATCAGGTATTTTTGGTTCTTGTAAATTTCACATATTTTTCTATCCATGTTTTACATGAAAGACAACAAGAAGAAGCTGTTTTGATTGGGATTTCCTTAAAAATAAAATCAGGTTGTGGAGACTTGAGTTTTAATACTGAATGGTTCAGTCCTTGAACGTGGGACCTCTCCTTTTGCCCACATTGCCGTATCATTTGACGATATGCACTACAAATGTCTCACACATGTTCTGTTAGCTTTAGTCCTGGGTAATTCCTTTATAGAATTTTCCTACTTTGGTAATTCCCTTTTGCTAGCCTTGTAAATGGTGCTTTTATCTATCTATCTATCTATCTATCTATCTATCTATCTATCTATCTATTTATTTTTGTTAGTCCTCACCTGAATATATTTTTTCCATTGGTTTTTAGAGAGAGTAGTTGCCGCCTGCCCGCGCCCAGACGGGGGCGGGGGGGGGGGGCTGGGGATTGAACCTGCAACCCAGGTGTGTGCCCTGTGGTGTGCAGGCCAATGCTCTAACCACCGAGCAACACCAGCCAGGGCAGCGCTTTTATTTGATTCCATTAGTTTATTGCTTCTTCTTTATCTTTTTGTATGTTGTTTGTTTAGAGGAAGCTTGTTAGACTCTCTTATTTAGATAATTTAGGTACAAATGTGAAAAACATTTTCTTTACGCACTATTATCTCATTTGTGTAGCATTAGGTGTTTCTTTCTTTCTGATATTTTATTTTTATTTTTATTTTTTTTTTTATTTATTTTTTTTTTTTTATCCTCACCCGAGGATATTTTTCCATTTTTTGTACAGATAGAGTGGGAGGGAGAGAGAGGAAGGGGAGAGAGAGAGAAACATCGACGTGAAGGGACACATCGAGTGGCTGCCACCCGCACGACCAACCAGGGCCGGGGACAAACTGCAACCGAAGTACGTGCCCTTAGCGGGAACCGAACCCAGGTCTCTCTGTACCGCAGGCCGACGCTCTAACCGCTGAGCCAAACTGGCCAGGGCTGATATTTTATTTTTAGGAATTACAGGTTTTGTACTTTCTCTTTCTTGCCTTATTGACAGATCAATGTAGAGTAGAAATAATTACAGCTAGAATTCTTACCTTCTCGAGACAGAAGAGAAACCTTTATGTCTTCATCATTAAACAAATCTTTGCTTTCAATTTTTTGAACATATTCTTTATTGGCTCAAGGACATTCCCAATTATTAATTCTCCAACAGTTGTTATAATAAAAGATTACTGTGTTTCAATTAAAAACATTTTCTATATTTTAGATGGTAGTGATTTTTGTTTTGAATCAGTTAGTTTGGTAAGCTTTTCAGCTTTATCCCTTGAATTTGGGGTGAAGTACATTCTTTTTTATTTTAATGTATCTTTGCACTTTCATTATGATTTCTTCTCTGACTCATGGATAGTGTATGGGAAGTAATGTGCTCTCCTCATAGGAATTAAAACTCAACAACATAGGATGAGAATTTTAAAAAGAGCATGATCCAAATAATATATCTATTAATAAACTTTCTGCCTCAAATTCTACTTTGTCTGATTGATATAGCCACATATGGGTTCTCCTTTTAAAATTTAAGTGTAGTTAGTTTACAATATTATATTAGTGTCAAGTGTACAATATAGTGATTTAACATTTTTATGTATTATAATATGATCCCCCCATAAGTCTAGTAAACATCTGTCACCATGAAAACTTATTATAATATTATTGACTATAATGACCTTCCCCTTTTCACCCATCCCCTAAAATAAACTCAAAATGGATTAGAGACTTAAATGTTAGTCCTGAAACCATAAAGTTCCTAGAAGGAAACATAGGTAGTAAACTACTTGACATCACCCTGAGTAATATCTTTTTAGCTGCATCCCCTTGAGAAAGCACAACTAGATAAATGAAACTTCCTCAAACTAAAAGGCTTCTGTACAGCAAAGGAAACCATCAATAAAACAAAAAGAAAACCTAGTGAATGGGGGGAGATATTTGCCAACAATTCATCTGATAAGGGGTTGATTTCCAAAATATATAAGAAAAGCATACCACTCAAAAACAAACAAAATAAACAATTCGACCAAACAATGGGCAAAGGACATGAGAAAAGACACTTAGGGAGGACATACTGATGGCCAATAGCCATGAAAAGATGCTCAGCTTCACTAATCATCAGAGAGATGCAAATTAAAACCATCATGAGATATCACCTCACACCTGTCAGAATGGCCGCCATCAACAAATCACCAAACAAGTGCCGAGGAGGGTGTGGAGAAAAGGGAACCCTCGTGCACTGCCGATGAAAATGCAGACTGGTACAGACATTCTGGAAAACAGTCTGAATTTCTTCAAAAAAAATAAAAAATGGACCCACTTTGCCCTGGCCAGTTTGGCTCAGCAGTTAGAACATCGGCCCACAGACAGAAGGGTCGTGGTTTTTATTTTATTTTTTCATTATTTCATTTCATTTCATTTTTTATTTTTTTATTTTCACCCGAGGACACTTTTTCATTCTTTGTTCAGATAGAGCAGGAGGGAGAGAGAGAGAAACATCGATGTGAAAGGGACACATCGAATGGCTGCACCCGCACGACCAACCAGGGCTGGGGACAAACTGCAACCGAGGTACATGCCCTCAGCGGGAACCGAACCCGGGTCTCTCCGGACCGCAGGTCAACGCTTTAACCGCTGAGCCAAACCGGCCAGGGTGGGTCCTGGGTTTAATTCCCAGTCACAGGCAAGTACCTGGGCTGTAGGTTCCATCCCCGTTCTCAATGAGGGTCATGTGAGAGGCAGTCAATCAATGTGTCTCTCTCACATCGATGTTTTTCTTTCTCTCTCTCCCTCCATCCCTCCAACTCTATCTAAAAATCAATGGAGCTCAGTTGGTGTGACTCACTGGTTAAGCGTTGACCCATACACCAAAAGGTTGCCAGTTGGATTCTTGGTCAGGGCACATGCCCAGGTTGTGGGCACAATCCTTAGTGGGGGGCATGCAGGAGGTGGCCAATCAATGTTCTCTCTCATCAATGTTTTTGTCTCTTTTCCTCTCTCTCTCTAAAGTCAATAAAGAAAAATAATATTTAAAGACTCTTTAAATAATAAAAATAAAAATCAATGAAAAATTATCCTTGGGTGAGGATTAACAACAACAACAAAAAATGGACCTGCCCGATGACCCAGTGATTCCATTGAGTGCCTTGGGACCTGTCGGGTGGTGACCATCCAGAAACTAAAATTCAGTAGCATTAAAAAATTTTTTTTAAAAAAATCCTCCTCTTAAGGTATTTTTTCCATTGATTTTTAGAGAGAATGAAAAGGAGGGAGGTGAGGGGGAGAGGGAGAAAGAAAAGAAAAACATGGATGTGAGAGAGACACATCTATTGGTTGCCTCCAACACAATCCAACCAGTGTTGGGGATCAAACCTGCAACGCAGGTACATGCCCTTGATCGGGAATTGAACCTGCAACCCTTAGGTGCACAGGCCGAATGCTCTAACCATTGAGCAACACCGGCCAGGGTTCAACTCTACTTTTCTACCTGATGAAACTTCTATACTTTTAGAATACATGGCTAAAACAACTCATCATAAAACTGTCCCTCAGCCCCAGTCACAATTTCTCTCAGCCCTTATGTATATATCCCAAAGAGGATCCCTTTACCACGCATTGAATCTGTAACACAGAGTCAAGGTCCAGGTTGGTTCCCCCGAACATCTCTACAAGAAGCTGAATCAAGTCACTTTTAACCTTCACCTTTTCACGTGTAGACACTATGGCTTTCCTCACTTCCAGGTGCCTCCTCAGCAACCCAAGCCCCTGAGAAGGAGGCTTGGTCTTCCAAGTAAACCTTCAACACACTTACCATAGAGACTTCAGGCAGCAGAACGGCTGTTTCAAGGCCTCGCAGAGAAGTTTCAAGTCTTTGCTTTTCAGGACATTTGTGCTGAGATCCAGATGGATCAAGTTCTTGTTACACAGGAGAGCATCACAAAGGTTTCCCCAGCAACATTCTCTGGGGTAGCAGCAAACTAACCTGTGGGGACAAACATGGGAGGAAAGGAGGGAAAGGATGTGCCAGGGAGCTCTGTCTAACTCCATATTATGGAAAGTATTCCTATCATCTTATATGCATGGCATCTTCAAGGGACACCATGGATTGTCTTATCTAAAAATGCCTTTTTTTTTTAAGCCTCTTACTCACGTGATAGATTAGAACAAAAAAAACCGATGTAGTGATGTAGAAGGAAGAACTTGACATAACTAATTCTCAAGGAGAATTTGGAAAATGTTGGTTCTCATTCTATATCTGATTCTGTCCTTGGCCAAGACACTGCTCATGGATTAGTCACGTATATTGAATCAACTTACGTGTAAAAGCTGTAATTGTTTTAGTTCTGTTATTCTTTCTGTAATTTCTTTTTCTTTTTTTGGGGGGGGGTATTTTAAAATTTATTTTTGACAATATTACAGGTGTCTCTCATTCTCCCCCTTGCCCCCTCTTTTTTTTTCAATTATAGTTGACATACAATATTTTATTAGTTTCAAGTGTACAACCTCATGATTAGACATTTATATAACTTAGGAAGTAATCACCCACAGTAAATCTTGTACTCAGCTGACACCATACATAGTTATTACAATTTTATAGACTATATTTCCTATGCTGTACTTTACATCCCCATGACTGTTTTATAAATACCAATTTCTACTTCTTCTTTTTTTAAATCCTCACCCAGGGATATGTTCTTATTGATTTTAGAAAGGGGGGCTATCGATATGAGAAAAAAACATCAATTGGTTGCCTACTATACACACCCTGACTGGGAATTGAACCTCAACCTAGGTATGCGCCCTCACTGGAATCGAACCCACAACCTTTCAGTGCACAGGACGACACTCCAACTGACCAGGGCCCAGAGCCACCTGGCCAGGACCCAATTTGTAGTTCTCAATCCCTTCACCTTTTTTCACCCAATCCCTCAATCCCCCCTTTAACCTAGCAACCATCAGTTTGTTCTCTGTATCTTTGAGTTAGTGTCTGTTCTGCTTATTTATTTTGTTCTTTAGATTCCACATATAAGTGAAATCATATGGCATTTGTTTTTCTCTGCCAGACTCATTTCACTTAGTGTAATATCATAATAGTTCATGGCTTTCAAAGGAGTTCATGGTTACTTTGGAAAAATTGGAAGGCACAGAAAAGTTTGGAGCAGAAGTTGTGAGCTAGTGATGACTCCATCAATGGACAGATGTTCAAACTAATGGCTGCCATGGTGTTCCAAAGTGGGCCTTCCCAATGGTCACTTACACCAAGACCTGCAGAGCACAGGCTGGGTGGCACAGGGCTTCACACAACAGGGACAGTCCTCTGTGCAAGTAGTTGTAGGATAAGTTAAGAAGCTTCAGTTTTGCATTTTTCTTTAGGACCTCACTGAAGCCTTCACAATCATCAGCTGAGAGGCCACAATTGGCCAGCCTGTAGGAAAGAGAAAATGTCACATTCCATTGGTTTCTATGTCCCTGATTCATTCCTCTTGCTAATCCTATCAGAGGCAGGAAACTCATGTTTGCTCTGCTTGAGAACCTCCCTGAACCCAATCACCCATTCTCTAGACTTGAGACACCCTAAATTATTGTTCGTACACAGCTTCAATTTCCCCAATAAAAAGCCTCAAATACATCACTTGATTTGAGTTACTTGATCTATATCAGGTGTTATTCTTCAAGGTATTCATTCATGTTTGCTGTTCCCCAAACTCCATCACCACAACTCTTCTATTTGACTTAGGGTGTTTCTACTTGCTCACCCTGAATTGTCATGAATTGGAAACACCGGTATTACCAGTATTCAGGTCCAGAAACATATATCATGTCCATCACTTCCTGTCATCCTCACCTCTAATACCATGGCCATGCCCACTTTTGAACTGTATATAAATGAAATCACATGATATATTTGCCCTTTTAAAGAGATGTTTTTATCACCTGACCAGTTTGGCTCTGCAGTTGGAGTGTTGGCCTACAGACCATAGGGTTTCAGGTTTGATTCCTAGTCAAGGGCACATGCCTGGGTTGCAGGTTTGATCCTTGACCCTGGTCAATGTCATGTAGGAAGCAACTAATTGATGTGTCTCTCTCACATTGATGTTTCTCTCTCCCTCCCTCCATTCTATTTAAAAGTCAACGGAAAAATATCCTCAGGTGAGGATTGACCCCCAAAAATGTTTTTATTGATTTTAGAAAGAGAGGAAGGAATAGGGAGAGAGAAAAAAATATCAGTGAGACAAGAGAACCACTAATCACTGCCTCCTGCATCCCTCCTACTGGGAATACAGCCTGCAACCCAGGCATGTGCCCTGACCAGGAATCGAACCAGCAACCTCTTGGTGCACAGGATGACACTCAACCAACAGAGCCACACCAGCCAGGGCGATACATTTACTCTTAAGTTTGACTCATTTCCATCAATGAGGTCTGTGAGATTCATCCAAATTGTTGCTATAATTGTAGATCGTTCCTTTTCAGGAAGGGAGTCTATAACAACAAGTCTTTTCATCTAACTTACCACTAGGAGGTATTTCCATTTTCCAGGTATTACAAATACTCATCACGAATGGCTTAGGACCTATCTTTCAGCAAACTTATGCATGCAGTTCTGTTGGACGTACACCTCAAAGTGGAATTTCTAGGCTATAAGGAATGCCAGAATTTCCGAAAGCCAAATAGAAGCAAATTGTTTTCCAAAGGGGTGGTGCCAATTTAGAATCTTTAACTCCCATATTCAGTGCTCAAATTCACAGGAGGTTAAGTTTGCATATGAAAAATAGAAAAAACGATGAAAGTAGACAGATAAAAAAAATGCATGGTCCTCTCTAGAATCAAATCAGTGAGGCTGGTGAGCATGAAGACTTACAGTAATTTCTCTATGTTGCACGTCGGATTGTTCAAGGCGTTACACAGCAACACCACGTCACTGTGGGAGAGTCTCATGCCACTGAGGTCCAGGTGTTCTAAATCTGGGCTATTAGTGAACACCTTGAAGAAAAACCAGCTCTCACCAGAGAACGAAACATTTCTTATCCTGCAGAAAGGAAGAAAATTTTGTGTGGGTTTTATTCAACAAAACCTGAAAAGACAGCCTGAGCACCTGTCTGATTTTGCCCTGTGAACTGTAATCCTGTAATACTATCCAATGTTACAAAGTCTTAAATTTAAGTGAATTAACACAAAGTTGTTTTTCCCTCACCAGGTAATGGTTCAATAAAGGTGCTACTGGAATTTTTGGCAGGGGGTTAAGTCAGTACAGTAGTTCTCTACCTTGACTGACATTGAAATCAAGTGGGGATATTCTGATAAATTGATTTGGGGGCTTGTCCTGGGCTTGAAGAATCTTCTTTCAAAAGGTCCTTGTATGGTTTTCACATGCAGGCAATATAGAGAAGACAATAAAAATATAGCCTGGCCGGTGTGGCTCAGTGGATAGAGCATCAGCCTGCACACCAAAGGGTCTTGAGTTTGATTCCTGGTCAAGGGCATGTACCTGCGTTGCAGGTTCAATTCCCAATGGGGAAAGTGCAAGAGGCAATCAATTAATGTTTCTCTCTCCCCCTACCTCTTCCTTTTCACTCTCTCTAAAACTCAATGGGCATGTGAAACTCTGTTCTAGGTTGCAGTTCTCCAGGTTGCCCAAAAGCTAGAGGTGAGACTCATTTAACTCCACAACAGACTCAAGTCCAGGTGGACCTCCAACTTACTGAAGCTTCTGAAGGCGGCAGCTGGGATTCCACAGGTGATCACTCAGGGTTGCAAAGGCTGAGCCTTCGAGGTTACTATCACTTACTTGAAGTTCTCTGAGGTTCTTATTTGTAGTGAGCACAGAGCAGATGTGATGCCAACTGGTTAAATGGTAATCTGACCTATAAGGAAAGAGAAAGGAAATGCTTTCCTTGTGTAAACAGTCCAGCAAAGCCATTCATAACATAGAAGCATCATGAGTTATCTTCCTGAACACCGGTCATCTCTCTGACTCAGAGCAGACCCACTCTTAGGTAAGTTCATCTTATAATCATGTTTCTCAACCAGGGGCAATGTTGTCCCTTCACCCGGGAGACACTGGGCAATGTCTAGGGACATTTTTGGTTGCTATCACTTGAGGAGGGGTACTTCGGGCATCTATTGGGTAGAAACTAGCGATGCTCCTAAACATACTAGAATGAACAGAACACACCCCACCCTTGCCAGCAAAGAATTATCCATCCCAAATGTCAATAGTGCCAGGCTGAGGAACTTGGACTTAGCTGTGGGAAATTTTATAGGGAAAGCTGGGGCATTAAAGAATTGCTGTTAAGTCAGTCTCTAGCAAGACCCCTAGGCTCAGCCTGAGCCTCTACCACTTCCTCACTTGGACAGCTTACAAGATCTGTTTCCTCGCTTGTAACCTGATAAGAGCATCTATCTCATATGACTTTTGTGAGTACTAAAATGAGTTAAAATTTGTAACATTGTTTTCAGAATACATTGTAAAAGGTAACTTTTATCTGGGAAGTAAAAAAAAGTGTGATCTATGGAAACAATACAAATAACTTGAGTACATATCAGAACATTCAAGAATGTATAGGAAACAGATTTCACATGGATTCTCACAGTCTATCTTTATAGCATCTCCCAGGGTGGTAGTTCACATTATTGACCTTTCTACGAGGCAACTTCAACGAAGAGAGCAACCCACAGCCGAGGTCACCTATTTCATAAGGAGTCCAGCCAGGATGTGAGCTGAGGTCTGTTTAATGTTGGAGGTGAGATCCCAACCCCAATATTCTATAAGAAACTCCATTCACAAAACCCACTTGGGAAAACAGACAGATGCAAAAAAGGTAACAGAAAGAGAGTCATTGGATGGACTCACGTGGAAGTGTGTGTGTGCTCTTCCTCAAAGACATTTTGGATGGAAAAACAAAGTTTCCTCAAGGAAAAACAGTGTTTTAAGCAGTAGGCAGCAGCCATCAAGTCCATCTTGTCAGTGATAAAAAAATGCACCTCTTTGTACAGATTCATTGCCCACTTTATGAAGTCTTCGTTCTCCATCTCAAACAGACAGTAACATAATGCCAAGAAATCTACCTGTCCCTGAAGGTGTCCACTCTCACTTACACTCCATAAATGCTGCTGAAATGTCTGCTGTATCTCCTCCTGGCACAGGTGGTAGCCAAAAAATGCATCCAGCTTCTGTTGTTCCTTTTCATTCAAAAGGCCAAACATGAAACACCCCAGAAAAATCCAATGGACCTTTTTATTCTTTAAATAGGTGGATAGCAGTGCCTTGGTAGATCCCACAGCTGGGTTAGGATGGTTAGTGTGGCTCTTCACAAGATAAAACAGGGCAGCACAAAACTCCTGGATGCACACATGGATGAACATGTATGAGTTCTCAGTGTACCTACATTTATGAAGAACCTTGACGCCCAGCAATGCAGGAATGTCAGAATCAACCAACCCATTTCTTCTGAGATCTTCTTCATTGAATACAAATGTGTCATTCCACATGCCCTCAGCAGCCAGGGAACATAAGCCCTTCAGCAGACCTTGGCTTTGCTCATCTAGACAACTAGACCCCATGGGGGTGAACAGGTTCAAGACAAAAGAGGAATAAAGGGAGGTGGTTCGTCGGCATGTCAGAGCCAGATCTTTCTTTCTTTCCATCTCTTGCTTCAGACAAGTGCACACGACCCAGCAAAGGATGGGGATTTGGCACATGGAAAACAGTTGTACATTCTCTCTTATAAATCTGAAGGCTTTGATGCTTCTACTCTTGTCTTGGAATATATGGGAGAAATATACCTTCCTCTCGCCCTCCGTGAATCCACTGAGTGTTTTGATCTCTGGGCATTCCAATCTGTCCTCGATTACTTGAGGGTACGTAGGCACTGCAGCAATGAGCAGTGAGCACTCAGGGAGCATTTTCTTCCTTAGCAAGCTGCTTAAGATCACCTGGATGGGTCGCTGCTCCATCCAGTTGCTGCACAGATCTGACTCAGGTTCATTCAAGCCATACTTCAGTTCTTCAAAGCCATCAATGATGAACAAGAGTCTCTCTGGTTCGGATGTGATCTCCCCTATTGGGGTGAGGGAGTTGGACCAGTCTCTACAAACCAACTCGGCCAAGCTGGCTGCTGTCAACCGCTTCAGTTCCCGGCAGCAGAAGTAGAAAATGTAGGAGAACTGCTGGTAGAGTGTGCCCTCTGCCCAGGCTAACATCAGCCTCACCAGCAACGTTGTCTTCCCAATTCCCTGGATACCTCTGAGGATCACTGTCTGTCTCCTGGTCTCTTTCGGAGCAAAAAGAAATTCCAGATATTCATGTTCTTTCTTGATGAGCTCCTTCTCAAAGCAATCATAAATCCTGGTGACAGAGTCTCTGAACCACATCTCACTGAATTTCTCCTTGACGTGAGCTCGATACATCTTTCCATGTCCTGAGTCAGTGAGCACAAGAAAACAAAACAACATATATTCGAATTAAAACACTCAGACAGACATTTGCTTTGGCCCTGCTATTTTTCCTCTCAATGCATTTTCTCAGGGTTCTGAAAACTCTGGCCCATTGGCCAAAGCTGGTCAACAGTCTGTTTTATAAATAAAATGTCATGAGGACTCAGTCATGTTCTTTGCTTATTCGTTATCTACAGTGGTTTTGCCACTACAAAGACAAAGATGAGCAGTTGTGATGGAGATGATGGCTCTCTAAAGTCGGCCAAACCTCACTCTAAACACATACACACATACATGACTGTTCATTGTTGCTACTATATAGCAAACACTAGAGAATCACTTCTAACCATGGATAGAAGACCAGTAAAATTATTCATGCAATAGTACACAGATAGTAAAAGTGTGGAATAATTCTTTAAATGCTTATTGAATTGAGAGAGAGGGGAATGGAAAGACAGAGAGACAGAAAGAGAAAGAGAGGGAAAGAGAGAGAAACATCAATTGGTTGCCTCCTATACATGCCTTGACCAGGAATTGAACTTGCAACCTAGGTATGTTTTCTTACTGGGAATCGAACTCGTAACTTTTCAATATTTGGGATGACACTCCAACCAACTGAGTCACATTGGCCAGGGAAAGTGTGGAATAATTTTTATATAAAAACAACAACAACACCAAGACAGTGTCTCTACTATGTGCCTGTTTACACCTACAAGGAATTCAGATACAGATAGTGATTTTCTGGGTATGGAATTTATCTGACACACCTGACACTGAAAAATTAGATGTGATAGAGTGCCCCTCAATAGACTACTGGATAAAAAAAAATCAGTGGTACATATATACAATGGAATATTACTCTGCCACAAAAAAGAATGAAATATTATTTGCAACAACGTGGATAGACCTAGGATATTATGCTGAGTGAAATGAGTCAGTCAGAGAAAGAGAAATACCCTATAATTTCACTTATATGTGGACTCTAAAAACAAACAACAACAAAGAAATGAACAAACAAAACCAAAACAAACTTATAGAAACAAAGAACAAATGGATGGTTCTAGAGGGGAAGGGATGAAAAGGATGGGTGAAAAGCTAAAGCACAATTTAGCCAATCATAGAGTGGCCTTGGCCAGGTGTCTCAGCTGGTTGAGCATCATTCCATACACCAAAAGGTTGTCGGTATAGTTTTTGGTCAGTGCACATATACCCAGGTTGTGTGTTCAATCTGCAGTCAGGGCACATATGGGAAGCAACCAACTAATATTTCTCTCCCACATCTCTCTCTCTCTCTCTCTCTCTCTCTCTCTCTCTCATTTCTTCCTTCCTCTCTCTAAGGCTAATAGCAAACAAACAAACAAACAAAAACAAAAACAAAAAACAGACATATCCTCAGGTGAAAATAATCCTCAGGATTAAAAATAATAAATAACCCGACTGCTGTGTCTCAGTGATTGAGCATTGACCCATGCACCAAGAGGATGCCAGTTCAATTTTTGGTCAGGGACCATGCCCAGGTTGTGGGCCTGATCCCCAGTTGGGAGAGTGCAGGAGGTGGCCAATCAATGTTCTCTCTCCTTGATGTCTCTATGTCTGTCTCCCCCTCCCTTCCTCTCTCTCTAAAATCAATAAAGAAAAACAATTTTCAATTAAAAAAAAAATAGTGTGATAACTTTGCATGGTGAAAAATGGTTACTGTGAGATGATCCCACTGTAAGGTAGATAAATGTTGAGTCATTATATTGTACACCTGAAATTAATGTAGTACTGTATGCAACTATACATAAATTAAAAGGTCAACACAATATCCTAACTGTAATTATAGTAAAATGATGTGCATTCCAATACTTAAATGCTCCAACAGGGCTACTGTGAGGATATAAAGAAGCTTCTGAGAAAATTTCATTATATGTGAACATAATATATACAAATGCAGATGGTTGTCATGTCAACTGAGATCATGATGAGTGTTGTTCTTGAGGCTATCGTGTTGTAAAATGGTCAACTCGTGTTTTTTTTTTTAATTCCTCACCTGAGAATATGTTTTTATTGATTTTGTTTGTTTGTTAATCCTCACCCAAATCAATGTTTTTCTATTGATTTTTTAAAAAGATAGAATGGAAGGGAGAGGGGAAGAGAGAGAGAGATATCAATGTGAAAGAGACACATCAACTGGTTTTCTTCCACATGACCCTGACTGAAGCCAGGGATCAAACATACAACCCAGGTACATGCCTTGGCTGGGAATTAAAATTGAGAAACTTCAATCCTCAGACTGACACTTTAACCACTGAGCCAAACAAGCCAGGGCTGTTTTTATTGATATTAGAGAGAGAGGAAGGGAGATAAAGAGAGAAACATTGATGTGAAAGAGAAACATTGATCGGTTGCCTCCCATACGTGCCCTGACTGGGAATCAAACCTGCAACCTTTTGGTGTACGGGATGAGACTCCAACCAGTTAAGTCATCCAGCCAGGGAAATGGCCAATGACTCTTAATAAGACAAAATACAATTTTCTTAAAAAAAAAAATGGCCCTGAAGCCTATAATGCTTATAGGTGATAGCTTCTTTGACATGAATGTTTGCTTGTTAAATATGAAAATATATACATACAAAATAGTGATTTAGAAATATTACTGAACACGCATTCCATGGCTACTTTGAATAAATACACAATTACACCTAGTTATCTTCAGCTCAGTGCATCATCTACAAAAGATGTTAAGTGTAATGTTCGCTGAACCATCAAGTCCATAGTTTTTGTGATAAAACTTCTTAGAGTTTCTGGCTTGGATGCAAGGATAAATTATTGGTAATGCAGAAATGCAATACAAGTTAAGATGTGGTATCCACCCACATTTACCACACAGAACCACTGTCTTCTATCTACAAGGATAACACTGTTCCCTAGTACATTCTGACCCTTCTGTGGAGCCCATTGGGTGGAGATGGTAGATGGAGACCATTTATCAAAATTCTGACATGATCCTTGGGATAAGAAGCCTTGTCCCCATCCCCAATTCCAGACTCCCTCACCGGCAATCTCTCTCTTGGCCTTCTCGCAGAGATCTTTCCGATTGATCTTCTGAAAGATGATGAAGGTCACATCCCAGGCTTGTTGTTTCTCATAATGTTTGACCAATAGGTTTGCCAGGTCTTCTCGTGTTGCCTTCTTTACATCAGACCAGGGGATCTGCTGGAGTCCAAGGTGCAGAGGTTCTTGCTTGAGGAGCTCCTTAAATTTTCTGAACTCATCCTTTTTGAGCTCCTTCAGGTACCACATAAGGCCAAACTCAGAAAAAAAAGACGATGCCATCTTGACCTGGACTAAGATGACAGTCTTCAGTGAGAGAATTACCAGGAACTAAATGAAACCTGTGTAAAATTCAGAGCAGCTCCAAGTTATTAAAAAAAAAAGTCAACGCAGAGAAGGGGGTTGGGGGAAACAGAAGAGGGTAAAGGGGGGATGAATGATGATGGAAGGATACTTGATTTGGAGTGGTGAACACACAATACAATATGCAGATGATGTGTTGTAGAACTGCATACCTGAAACCTATATAATTTTATTAACCAATGTCGCCCCACTAAATTCAACAAAAAATAAAATAAATAAAACAAAAAAAACCAATCGATTGAGGTAACTAAGTTCTTGTATGGTGAGTATCTTGCTAGTTTTGGGTGGATGGGGATGAGGGCAGGATTTCTTTAGACTACACTCATCTGTTCTCATCTTCTTATTGAAACAGTCATGAGAACAAGACCATTCTCATGACAAAATTCAAATGAATAAAAAATAATCCCTCAAAGAATTACTTCTAACCCGAATTCTGACAATGCCTGATACAGACACATAATAAAAAGTATTCAATGTTAGATGTGGTATATAGAGACAATGGACTACTACTCAGCTGTAATAAAAGATGAAATAATGCCATTTGTGAGGACCTGGATGGATCTTGTGAATATCATGCTAAGTAAAATAAGACAGAAAAAGTTAAGAACCATATGATTTCACTCACGTGACATATAAATCTAGAAGCAACAAATGAACAAACAAGATAAACAACCACAAACCCATAGACAAAGACAATAGTGCAGTGGTTGCCAGAGGGAAAGGGGGTGGGATGAGGACAAAGAAGGTAAAGGGGGTCAAATATATGGTGATGGAAGGAGGTTTGACTTTGGATGGTGAGCACACAATGCAATATACAGATGCTCTATCATTGAATTGTACACTTGAAATCTATATAATCTTATTAACCAAGGTCATCTCAACAAATTTCATAAATTTTTTTTAAAGTATCCAATGTTAGCATCCAAGTAAGCACTCCCAATGGAACTATACAGATAAATACCTGGGATAGACCAACTGGAAAAAAAATCAGATAAACCAAGACTGTCCAAAGGGTTAATTGTTTTACTATCCGATGAGTTCAACTATAAGGCAAAAACATGATGATAGATGCGGAGAACTTTTCCCTAATACCAAATAGAACAATTCTTCAGAAGACATGAAAATCTTAACCTACACTCACCCGACATACCCTCAGAATAGAAGCTAATATAGACTTAGCCACAAGTTGTGGGAAATTACATTTTTCTTGGTAACGAATAGAGAAAGATATGTAATAATCATGCCCACGCAAATATAGACAATCAAAGTTTTTGACAAAAGCACAGTGAAGAAAAAAATTTTTTTCAACAAATGCAAAAAGGAGAAAAACAACAAGCTAGATACAGATCTTACATCTTACACAGAAATTGTACAACTGAGCAGAATGCAGCTGAAGCATGGCTTAGAAAAGTGTACAACTCTAAAGGTATGAAAGAAAGGCTGAAAATACAGCCCTGACTGAGTAACTCAGTTGGTTAGAACTAAGCTACACCAAGATTGTGGGTTCGATCCCCAGTCAGGACACATACAAGAATCAACCAATGAATGTGTAAATAAGTGGAACAACAAATCAATGTTTCTCTCTCTCTCTCTCTCTCTTCCCTCATTCCTCTCTCTCTCTAAAATCAATTTAAAAAATAAGGAAATTCACAAAATTTATAGGTATATACTTTAGGTTAAAGAACAGCAAAATGCACAAGAAGGTAGATTAAACAGAAGAATTATCAGATAAATATGAAGCTCAAAAGGTATTCTTAAAAAGGACTCAAAGAAAGTTGATATTCCAAACAAATCTAAGAGAAAGAAGTATGAATAACAAATATCATAATATCACTACATATCCAGCGGACATTTAAAAAGAGAGACGATTACAGATATTGAGCAAATGAAATTGATAATTTTGTTCAAATGTATACATTTTTAAAATGACAACTTTTATTTTTTATTTGTCTCTGTGTATAGTTTTAAGTTCATTTTGAGTTAAAATAAATTTTAACTGTAAAACAGCTTCATCCTCAATTTGTTAAAATTTAAATAAAATTTTATTTTTCCAGAAGCTCTTTCAGAGAGAAAAAGGGAAGGAGTGGGGAGAGAAGACATTTCCCAACTGGAGGTATAGCTTGGCTACTGAAAACTAACAAGTTTTGTCTAAGAATTTGAATGTTTCCATCCACTTGTGAAAAAAAACAAAAAAACACAACACCCGTTAAGTCTGTACATTAGTAATGAATTACCACGTGATACTGTTAATTTCCTGATTTTAATGTGCTGTGGTTACGCAAAAGAACTTCTTAGTTTTCAAACACAAACCCCGAATAATTTAGAGGTAAAATCACTTAGGGTAAAGGGTTAGGGGTGACTTTGTGCAATTCGTACAAATTATCTTGAACACATCAAGGGAAATAATTTACATAGGTAAAATTTTAACCTTCGGGGAATCTGGGTGAGGTATATGGCATGCTTTTTGCAATATTCTTGCAACTGTTTTCTAAGTCTGAAATTGAGTCCAATTTTTTTTTCAATGTGGGGTTGGGCTGGGGGCAGGGAACTAGTGTAGAAGTGTCTTTGGGCTGCCATAATGAAGGACCGAAACTGAGCGGCTTAAGACAACAGAAATGTATTGTCTCAGTTCTAGAAGCTAGAAGCCAATAAATAAAGGTGTTCCTAAAGCCTGAACCCTTCCTTGCCCCTTTCCTGTTTCTGGGGGTTTGCTGGCAGTCCTAGGCTTGTAGCTGCATGACTCCAGTCTCTGCCTCCATCCTCCCTGTGTCTCTGCTTTCAAGGGGCTTTCTTCTCATAAGGACACCCTAGTCCAGCAGGACCCCATCTTACCTAATTACATCTACAATGGCCTTATTTACAAACAAGGTCACACTCTGAGGTCTCGAGGGTTAAGCCTTCCAGGTGTGTTCTTTTTAGGAGGATACAATTCAGCCCACATGGGATTGGGGAAAAAAAAGACCAGCTTTTGACAGGGAGAGTTTTTTTCTCTATACACATTTACTTTATAGTCTAAATACGTGTTATAAAACTGCAAAGTTTTCACCCCGCCGGTGTGGCTCAGTTGGTTGGGTGTGGCTCAGTTGGTTGGGTGTGGTCCCGTGCACCCAAAGACTGCCTTTTGGATTCCCAGTCAGGGCACATGGCTGGGTTACAGGCTCAATCCCCAGTAGGGGGCATGCAGGAGGCAGCTGATCCATGTTTCTCTTTCTCTCCCTCTTTCTTCCTCTCTCTGAAATCAATAAACAAATATTTTTAAACATTATTTTTTAAAAACTAAGCAAAATTTTTAATCACCCCTCCCCCTCCAGGATTAAAGTATCAAAGATCTTTCTTCCTCAAGTCTGACAACAAGCTCAAGGTAGCCAAAGGAGTTAGACCTAATGCTTGTAGGGTGATGTCTCTGTCTGTCTCTGTGTTCTCTTGGTTGTCTCAACAGGTATGAATCTAATAAAATAAAATAAAAATACTCATCCCTAGGCTCCAAGTTCTCCTATCTTCATGATTCCTTTTGTACAGTAATGCCTTCCTGTGTGTTCAAGACCCCACTCTTCTCACAGGTTTTAGGCTGAGCTGAATAGCAAGCACACAGAGTTCATCTGGTCTACCAGTTTAGAGTAGAAGAAAGTCAGCCAAATGGAGCAGGAGCAGCCTGGTTGAGCCTGCCTTGGAACCATGGTATTTTATTTTACTTATTTATTTTTATCCTCACCTGAGGATGTGTTTAATAATTTTTTAGAAAGGAAGGGAGAAGAGAGGGAGAGAGAGATTTGTTATTCTATTTATTTATGCATTCATTGGTTGATTCTTGTAGGTGCTCTGACTGGGATTTGAACTTGCAACCTTGGCATATTGGGACAACATTCTATAACCAGCCCACCTACTCAGCCAGGGCAGAGCCATGGTACTTAAATAGAATGTCTCAAGACAGGGCTGGTGAATACCATCATGGCAGTAGTCTTTTAACTGAAATTTAACATGCTAAAGAGTCAAAATTTAGGGCCATGGTTAAGGACTCAAGGACTCCTGTCTGAGTGGTGAAGAAAGGAGGCAGGGCAAATGGGAGATAGCGAAGATTTAAAGTCACAAAGGAAATAAATGGATAAAAGAGAGACTGGGGGGCAAGACATGCTGACTCACCGCTCCAGGACTTCCTGGTGGGTTCTTAATGAGTGGCGGCTGGAACTGGGGAAAAATAGGCTACGGGGCCATACGATTGGCCAATGAATTGCTCCCCTCTCATTGGTTCAAGGCTGCTCTTGATGACCAGGCCCAAGAATAGGTGAAACAAATTTCTCTAAAAAAGAAACACTCCCATCTTGGGTGTGGTGTAGCACTTTGCCCCTGGTGTCCTTCTGGGGTAGATGTTTCAGACCAAAATTCTGATTTTGGATTCCCAGGGCTTCTGACTCTGAGAAAGTTCCTTCAACTTTCTGGCTAAGTTAGGCAGTGAGAATGGCTCTCTTCTTAATCTAAATGATTATGAAATTCATCTAAATGATTGACTCCTTTCTACCTCTGAAGATCCTTGAGGAATGTTGTTGTGCCTGACCAATCTTCTGTCACACAGGAGAAGAACCCAGTGACTCTTGGCTAATGTCGTTATGAGTGTGTACAGTGGGGCTCACATCACATGTTTCAAGTGTGGTTTACTTTCTTTTTAAAAAAATTTTTATTCATTGATATTTTAAGTTTTTATTTATTGATTTTTTTTTTTAGAGAGAGAGAGGGAGAGAGAAACATTGATTTGTTTTCCACTTATTGGTTGACTCTTTTTTTTTAATTCTCACCCCAGGATATTTTTTTCAAATATCTTCAGATAGAGTGGGAGGGGGAGAGAGAGAGAAACATCAACGTGAGAGTGACACACTGGCTGGTTGTCACCCACACAATCCCAACCAGGGCTGGGGATGAACTGC